GAGGAACCCCGAGAGGAAAGCTTACAAACCACTTGTCCCTGGTGTACGTTCCCTCAGTGGATTAATTGTGACTACTCGGAACCCGGTTGATCAATAAACCCTTGGCTCCCATTTTAGAGACCCGTCTCTTTTGAAGGTGGACTCCTCTGCTTATCGACCAGGCGGTTTTTCTCCGGAGTCAATATTAAAACAAGGAAAACCCTTCCCCTCCGCCAAAGACACAACCCATTCACAAGCACCGCACTTCTTTAAACCAAATCGACCAAGGCAACCGTAAAGACATTTTCAATGACGCCAAAGACACGCCGCCCAAACACTCTCCCGAAAGACTACTCGAGCAAATTACCCGAGACATGCGTAAAGACGTCCCCATTAAAAAAATATATACCCCAAACGACAGAAAAAACATCCCCCCAAAACAACGCAGATACCTGCCCCGCAGACATTTCTCCAAGACCCCTTCTAAAGATCCCCGAAAACATCCAAAGACATCACCCAGGACAATTGCTACGACACCCCCAAAGACCCTAAGATATCACCCCAAGACAACCACAAAGGCAGCCCCAAGTCATCCCCCAACAAAATTAAAAGAACCCCAAATGAACTTCAAAAGTTGTCCCGAGACACATCCGCCAAAGAGCTCTCCCTGAAGAGAAACCAACCAAAGACACCCCCCTCTCACCGACCAAGACAACCCAAAAACACCGTCCAAAGACATCCCCGAAGGCATCTCACGCCCCAGCGAAAATGACTCTCGCTGCCCAGCAAAACACCTCCAAACGACCACCCCTGGAACGCAAATTGCCATGGCAGACGCACACACGCAACGATCCAAGACACGGCGCCTGCACAACGAAACAGATGTCACCTCATAGGCTATAATGCTATAATTCATGCACAATGCACGGGCACGTTAATCCCAAGTCACTCCAAGCGCTCCTGTTTCTCCGAACGCTTGCGGTCGTAACGCAACGAATCTTGGTCACGCCCAAACCCCCAGACCCCCCACTTCTAAACACATTCGGGAAAACAATACGTGCGGCATTCATGTCTTTCCCAGTGTGCTATTTAGTGTCTTAAAACCATCTGTAGGGGGTGAGTATTTCCAGTCAGGTGTTCCAGCCTGGATCATGAGCACCTGGGCGCCTTTTGAGTCCTGCAGAGCGGCAAAAAGAGAGCAAGACCTTTGGCTGAAACGACCATACAGCGAGGTGAACCTGCAAAACCGGGCTTGTTTAACACGGCTGATTTCACTGAAAGGGTGGTCGTTTGGATTGATGCGAACTGAACCCTGGTTCTTGTAGAGGGCAAATGGCAAACCACCCCGCACCTCCAAACTGCCAATCAAAGCCACCAAGGGGAGCTGGCCTTTGCGGCTATCCAGGCAAAACAGGCTAGAGAGAGAGAGGAGGGAGGCTCAGAGTGAAGTGGCCCCCAAAAAAGTCCAGACTTCTTTGCTTGTCGCTGAAACAGTGTTCCCAAAAGAATGAACAAGTCCAGTAGCTCAGGGAGTGAAAGGACATGTAGGGGACACCAAACCGAAGCCACGCATTGCATCGCGGCATCTTGGATCGAGCAAACCTTTTATACACCATTGTTCTCTTGTATTTCCCATGAAACGCGCCAGAGGCAGCCCTGGTCCCTTTCCTCTGATAAGGCAGAGAGGACAATGGGTTCAAGTGGGATCCCTGAAGCCCTCCAATGGAGGGTCCTATGTGAGGCCTGCGGCTCAAATGGTAATATCCGAAAATGGTCAAAGAAGCTCAGGAACGACCAAGAAGTCTATGAGTCACTTGTCATTTAAAGCATGGGGGACAAACAGGAACAGAGATAAAATAAACCACCTGACATCTCCTAGGCCTGTTTTTGACAACTGCTGGCAAATCAAAGGAATCAACATGTATCATGGCTACCTCATAGAGGGTCTTGAAGACTCCCAGTTCACACACAACACTCCCAAACAAAGAAGCAGGACGAAGGAATCCGTCCCTCACGCGTGGTTTTGACCGGATCTGCATTGAACGTGTTTGAGGTCCCAAGATTCCTCGTTGTCAACACTTGCTGATTGCAGACGTGTTCCAAGCAAAGGGACCATCCCCAGCAAGTAAAAAGTCACTTCGCCGGTTTTGTGCTCCATTCTGGGATAACTGCTTGGTTGATCTTGGTGGACCCCAGCTACCACCATTGGGTACCAAACCAATCATGCCAAGTGTGGATTACCTCATTCAGTGTCAAAAAGTTCACAAGGTTGGCGCTAGCAAGGTTCCCCCAAGATGGGAACCGAGCGAGTTCCCTGTAGCCTTCCATGTGGCTCCGAAATGGACCATGGGCCGTACAGGACACCACGCTTCGCAATCCGAAGGTTCCCGTGCACAGGTCCAACCAAAATCTTAAGAAGGAACAAACCTGGTGACACTACTATATGGTTGGAAACCATGCAAAGGGGAAACCATGAACCATGCCCATGGTAACTATAACAATCTTCAAGGTAACCATGGAAAAAAACAGGGGAAAGTCACCCCTTGCCCACGAAACTGGTATCTGGGAGCCTCGTGAGGGTGAGAATCTACCAGACATGGGACTTCCATGTCTAAATAAGTACGAACAACGCGAGCGGAACAGTGGCGGCTATGCAAATGAAGCTCGTGATAGGGGAAGGGCCTAGGGGCCAGCTTGCACATCTCACACCCCCATAGCCTCTGGACATGTGGCGCAGTCACGTTCTTTTTCCGCTGTCTCTGTGACTCGTCAGCCCGCAACAGGCGGGGTACTGGCGCCTGGCGCGAAATCCGGGGAGCTCACTCACATCCAGTGCCTAGCTTCTGTTGGGGTTCTGATCTTTTGGCGGGGAGCAAGAATGGTTTGGACCAACATGCATTTTGTGGAATCCGAATAAATCAATTTAAAACTTAAACAATTCCAGTGGTCCGATTGCTTTTAGAACCATCTTCCTGAAGCCCCCCTCCGGTACCTTGCGTGGTCTGGAATGAGAAACCCAGACCGCACAAAGTGCCATCATCGGATTACCCGCGAGTTGCGTACATACCGCCGTGACAAAGGGGAACCCATCCAAGGTCTAGGAATAATTTGGGTGATACAATGACCCACTAGTTGGTGGTGCCCACCAGACACTGGGCGCCTGCGTCTACAAATAAGGTGGCTCAAGCAACGGCACCCAAGACGGGTGGACCGCAAAAAAGGTAAGGCTTCCATTTGGGTGTGCTTTTTGGCAGTACCCTTTTTCGGGGTTGGCTTAAACGGAAAGCAAAGGAAACCCACAATTTAGGTGTCCCCCTATTTTGAGACAGCCCAATTCAAACTTAGTTTCCTTCAAGACGCGCCCCAGATGGCTTCCTTCAAATGACGGCTTCCTTCAGACTAACCAGGAAGATCTTCCCCGCAAACACGGAACCACACCCATGCCGCGGATGGTTTAATGAGGGATACCAGAACTGGCCGGCCCGATTGCTCGCTCACTTTTGCCACTCTCACCTCACCGTGTGTGTGTGTGTGTGTGTGTGTGTGTGTGTGTGTGTGTGTGTGTGTGTGTGTGTGTGTGTGTGTGTGTGTGTGTGTGTGTGTGTGTGTGTGTGTGTGTGTGTGTGTGTGTGTGTGTGTGTGTGTGTGTGTGTGTGTGTGTGTGTGTGTGTGTGTGTGTTGTGAGGGTATTGGTGCCATTTTTGAAGCAACCCCCCGCCAAAAAACAAATGGGTTAAAAAGAACATGACTTTCATATCTAGAAACAGACCCTACAAGGGAAGTTGTTGAAACGAACCAACAGGCGAGCCGCCTCTTGTTGCGTCCAAATCCCCATTTAAACACGCACCCAAAATGGAATTCAATCGAAGCCCTGGTTGGGTCCGTAGTCTCCCTTCCCGATGGGAGGACAAATGAACTTGCTATTTACCACTCTGATGGTTTTCCCAAAGATCCAGGAATTCACGGAGTGAGTCTTGAGATGTCCAGGTTCGCAGTCACGAAGCGATTTCTTGGTTGGTCAATAGTGCCCCATGCCAGGGGCCAATCCTTTGGCTCGACTCCGGGGTCGACATGATGTCCTGTTTTGTGCAGTACGTAAGCCCTGAGAGGACGCATGGAATCCCCCGGAACTTTTTCCTCAGATCTGTTCGGAAAGCAGGTGTGGGATATGTGGCGATAGGGAGTTACTGCAAAAGTCCGGAGGCTGGGAACCTTAGGATATAGAGAGAGCCAGCTTGGTGAGTTCTGGACATCCAGACGGGAAAAGAAGAAGCAGCATCCGGTGGGATGTTCACTTGATTGCTGTTGATCCCCCTACAAACAGTTTAACTTTTTGGGGGCTGAGTGGAAAACACCTTTATTTGCCAAAAAGTCAAAGTCTGAAGATCCAATAGCAGTCAAGTTCAGGGCCCTCCAAAGGAACAAGAAGGGCACTGGAGGTCTGGATTCCAACCGGACCCGTGCCTCGGCGCGCTCTTCTCATGGTCGGGCGTCTCGGGCATCGGGGAAGTCGGCGGTATAGAGCCTGCGAAGAAAAGGTGAGGTGTCACGGGGGGCCGAAAAAAGTTCTGACTGGTTATTTTCCCACTAAAGTGGTCCTCCCAAAAAGTTGTCAAGTCCAGAAACCTGCGGAATGCGAACATCTGCCAGTCCCCTTTGCCATAGATTTTACGTTGATCAATTTTGACCATTTCCTTTGTATCACAGGTACGGAATATGTGGCGGCAGGGAAACAACAAAAGCCGCGCGGAACCTTCAATTCTATTAGCGAGCCGGCCCTGGGTAGGTCGGAAAGAAGAACCAGGATTTGTGTTGTAGGTGTGCTTTATCATCTTAAGTATGTCACCCCCCCCTAAAAAAAAAAACAAGAAAAGAAAAGAGGTGTGGTTTTTCTCAAGTATGTCAACCCCGCCCCCCCCCCCCAAAAAAAAGAAGAAGAAAAACAGATCCGACCTCTCAGCAAGTTGCACGCACTCTGAACATCTCAATGGGGCCCACTCGGTTCGGAACGGACTCGTGCCTCACGCTCCTGCTGCGCTGGGCACCGCGGCAGAGCCTGCGAAACGAGGCGGGGGCCAAAGACACGCAGACTTTGTAACCACTCACATGGTATGAGCTATGCTTAATTGAGGAATACAATTTCAGAAATGGTATGAGGTATGCTTAATTGAGGAATAGAATTTCAGAACTCCTGAGTCTTGCCAAGTCTTACTACGCCTTAACAGGCCTCACTAAGGCTTGCCCCGGGTTCTCGCATCTTTGCTTTCTCCGATCCGTATTGGGGTGTGTGTTTAAGATAGCGAGCCACAGCAATATGCTTGGTCATAGACATCACCCCTCCGCAAATCAACTTGGCCTGTTCAGGTAATCTTCACATCCTCAAAGGTGAAACATAGCCCAGTTGCCAGCCGAAAGGTAGAACAAACAACGGAACCGTTTTGGGCTGGCTGGTGGACTGTTTTGGCCTCGAATCCTGTTGATTGACTTTGAATGGAAACCCGTTGGACAGCTTATAAAGATTTCAATTGAAGAGAAAGGACACCAACGACATTAGCGGGCAAGAGGAACAAAGGGTACCTTTAAGCATTGGGAAATGGTTAAAACTGTGGAAAACACCCAGTCCGTTTCAAGCGGTTGCCTTCGCAAGAGCCACCTATTTTTGGTTGCTAATGTTGCCACCAGAAACCTCCGGCTACAAGAGCTTGCGCAGGAAAAGAGCACGCCTCCAACCTCTGCCAGCGTGCATTGCGTGTTGCAATTCTTCTTCACCTCTTCGTCAGGTACGTTCTGGACCTCGTCAAAGGTTAAGTCCTGGCCCCGTGCGCGCGCACCGGCGCATGTGCGTGCTTGCATGCGTCGATGGGTGGGTTTCTGTTTGGGGGTTTGGGGGGAAAACTCGACGGAACTTACCCTGAAAGGATCTAGAAAAGGTCCTGTGTTGCAGTTGCGGCCTTCATCTCTATTGCTGACGCGCACACACTCGCTCCTCCTCCAAGCCCATGTTACAAGCACATGGGGCAGACAAATATGAAACATGACTCAACATTCTACAGGGCTTTCGGAGACCCGGATTGCATGGGGATTCTGAGTTACCTCTCTTCCGCCTTCCTTTCATGGGCACCATGAGAAACTAGTCTCCGGAAAGAGTTCCAATCGGTCTATCGCAAATGAGCCCACCGCCTTTTAGGATGATTCAGGGATACCTAGAACTTCCTGCGGCGGAAATTTCTGCCGCAACGCATTGCGGCGGAAATTCCCGCCGCATTCCAGAAAATCAGCCGCAAACAAACAAAAACGCCGCAACCAAAACAAAAACGCCGCAACACCGTTTGCTTTCCGGGAATTTCCGCCGCATTCCCGCCGATTTCCGCCGCATTCCCGCCGATTTCCGCCGCAAATCAGGGGGTAGAAAAAACTGAAAACAAGTTCTGCCGCAATTCTAAAAAAACGCCGCAAATCAGGAAGAAATGCCGCAAATCCAAAAAGGCGCCTTTTTTGATTTGCGGCAAACATTTCTACCGCAACGAATCTCTAGGTATGTCTATCGTGCTCACCCCGTCCAGTTGGAAAGGCACAAGATAAATGAGCTAGCGCCAGGGCGTCAATTGCATCAGCAGCTGTCGAAAAAACAAGACGCCCCCCTCGACCTGTTCACGCGCGGAAAAACAGAGAACCTGTTCCCTTATTGTAGATGGACCTGCAAAGCGGGTGCACGTGCCTAGCATGTGAGTGGGTGCACGTGAGGTGCACGTGGGAAGCATTTCTTACTATGTACCTTGGTGTGTACAGTGCTGAGCGGGCTACCACTTGGCATAGATACAGCGCCGAGCGATGCGTTTCTGGAAGCACGGATGTTGTCGGTGGGATGTTGAGATGGAACTAAGACCGCAAAAGCTGTCTAATCGCGGCCGTGGCTGGGAAAGTGCGGTGACGCTGCGTGCTGGAATCCTTTGAACTTCCTTACGAAATGCGCGTGCCATCGGGGAATGTGCGCTGAAAAACGCGGGAGTTCAAGTAACCGGAACCAAAAAACAACATTGTTGAGGATAATATTGGCCCCTTTTTTCCCCTATTTTGGTGAATCCTTTAGTATTGCCAAGGCTGACTCTCAGATTCACCCTCAAAAAGCTTGGACACTGAAGAGAACCCCAAAACAATCACATCAAAGAGTATCAGGGCCTAAGCAACACTGTTTGCCCCTACTTTTTTGTAAAACAGTTGTCTTAAAGTTGATGGTTTTGGGGCCACTGGCAAAATGGGCTTCCTAGATCCAAGGCCTTTACCCTGTGAGCTGGGAAGAGCTTGGTTAGGTGAACCACCCAAAAGTAAAAGGCTAAGGCTTTAGTTTAAGAATTTCAGCAACCCAAAACACAGTTGGACACTAAAGAGAATCCCAAAACAGTCACATTTAAGAGGATCAGGGCCTCTTGTGGGCAACTCCTTTGTGTGCTGTTTGCCCGTACTTTTTTGTAAGTTATCTCAAATTTGCTGGTTTGGGGACCACCTCTAGAAAAGGACGTCCTAATGTTTGCCCGGATTTGTTTGCCTGTTTTCTTTGCTCGACTTGTTTGCCTTTTTTTTGACCCATATTTTTGCAGCGATCTTTCTGGTAAACAAACTTTCCACAATAGAGGACCCCCAACACAGTCGCAGGATCCTGAATTAGGAAAACACTTTCTACAATAGGGGGGGTACTAGTAGTACTATCAGAATTGGGGGTCTAACGTTATTGGAAAAGATATCGCCCGGTTAACCTCCAAGACATTGGCATAAAGCCCTGAAGGGAAATGGGCATGGCCAGTCGCTATTTGGGAATGGCCAAATCATGTTGCTTCGTGGCAAGTTAAGGATCAGGCAAAGGCAGTTCTGCAACTTGAACGAGGGGTAGTGACTCAATCGACAGCCTGATGGGCATGACACCCGATCCCCAGCGCCAAAAAAAAAAAAAACTTTCTGAGGATCCTCCCGCCCTGCGTCTAGAAAAACATAGAGGGACCAACTCCCCAAACGAAACGTTAGGAACCATCCAAACCACCCGCCAAACAAACCAGCCCAAGTGTCCACAGAACCTCCGCCACCCACCCCCCCTTTCTGTCCCTCTCGCCGGCCACGTGCTCGCTACAGGGCTCTGTGTCTGTCACGAAGCACAGGCCCCCGTAGTCTCCAGGCTCTCCTGTTGCAGTTCGAATGTGAGAGATGCCCCTTCCTAAAAACATTGTTTGCATGTTCCAACGTTGCTGCCACTCAATCCAGTACAAGTCTTGCCCGCCTGTTCTCGGCTCCGTGCCTTTCGCTTGGAACACTGATTCTTAAGAGCGACAGGTGCAAATGGTCTGTCTATTTCTTGATGGTACCCCTTGTTTGGTGGCTTCAGAGGAAACACTGCTTCAAAATCCACAAACTCTTGCCCAACCTGTTCTTCCCTTCCAAGAACAAACCTTGCAAACGGCAACTTCGAAAGGGCATGAGACCCTGAAACGGTGGTTGTGTGAAACCATTTCTCCTACGAGGGCCTTGAGAAGAATCGTTGTCAACCTGACTCAATGGGGCATGCTTCCGAGGTTGAGTAAGCGACGCAAGCGCATGACGAGCTAGACATAAATGCGCCACCCCAAAGCGCAACCGATCGTTGGTTGACGCAACGCTTCACAGTATCGTTCTGTCTTCACTCCAGCTCTAGCTGAGGCAAACATCTCATTAGTTTACCATGATCAAAATCACCTTCCAATACTTCAAGGGCCCAAGGGCCATGTCTTTTACGGTTTGAAGACCAAATACACATCTGGAGAGAACCAGCAATTCTTACAATTAGGCCACAAGTAATTAAAGGACCTTTCTCACAACTTATTTTGGCTGTCACGACGCCTCGTGGCTCCTGCGGCCATTTGTTGCCGTGAACTTTCCAAGCTCGGCACACCCACTCGGGCGAGCCCGCTCAGCGCTGCACGCACACTCATGCCAAGCGGTGAGCACAGCCTCAAGTGCCCGGATCACACGCTCAGCATTGCGCGTGCCAAGTGGTCTGGCAAGGCAACCACGCCTGCTCACGTCTCCTCGCCAGGCACTGCGCACTCAAATTCACGGTCGGCACACCCGCTGACGATGCGCCGCCAAGCGCTGCACCCACGTGTGCCCGCTCAGCACTGCACACAGCCTCCATGAAGCCTTCTCCATCGGATGACATCTTGGATAGTCTTTCTGGAAAACCTGCTCCGCTACCACAATTGAGTCCCAGCCTACTTGAGGCGCAAGGAGGAAGTGTCAAGCGACGTGCACCCCCGGTCAAGTCTTACTGGAATGGTTCCAGTTGTATTCTTCCTCGCCCGGCCTGGGCCCCGGGCATGGCTCAAATGGCAGAGCAGTCGCGAGACAGAACCCCAGTCCGCTAGAGCGTGCCGTGTTTGGCACATAACGTCAGGTTGCTCTTTCCAGGCGCGCGCTGGCCGGATAGAAAACTCTTGCGCACTCGGGCAAGGTCCTGCGCGTCTAGTTTCCAAGCCGAATTACTCTAAAGGAGCCTCCAGAGGTCGTGAACCTTGTTTTAGCCCGAGAAAATCAAAGAGTTCAGAAAGAGGGGTCTCACTTCTGCGGGAGGGCCAAAGCTGCAGGGTGCCAGTAGGAGCTGCTCCTAGGCACGTAACTGTAAAGGTGATTCTGTCCTTTTTGTCGAAGGCGCTTTGCCCTTTGAATGGTATGCGTCAAAGTTTGGTGACCCCCAAAATGGTAGTTTGCCTTTTGGTTCTCCTTTAACCCGAGCCTGAAAAGGGTGCCCAAAAAAACACACACACACACACACACACACACACACACACACACACACACACACACACACACACACACACACACACACACACACACACACACACACACACACACACACACACACACACACACACACACACACACACTTAAACTCCAAATGGAGAGTGCTAATCTTTCGAGTACAACTGATGAGTCTCGAGTACAACTGATGAGTCTCGAGTACAACTGGGGACAAACCCCATCGGCTTGCTGGTCACTTGGCTTCCCTGTAGTTACTTAGAAACAAGGAAGCAACAGCGGTTCAGCCAAAAGGACGTTCAGAGCATCACGACTTTCTCAAATTGCAGGTACGTCCAGAAGGCGTCCCTTCCGGATTTCACGACCAAACCATCACTGTCTTCGTTGGGCAGTGAGTGATGGCGATCCACTGCCCCCCTGCTGAAAATCGGAAAAGGTGGTGACAGGGCATTCTGTCACTCCGCACACACACGCCCCTCAATGAGGGGCGAGAACCACTTTTTCGGGGGGGAAAAAAACCACGCGCCCCAAAACCGGGCGAAGACCCCAACAGAAAACAAACGGAGCAAGGGAGCCCAAAAGAAACAGAAAGGCCCCAAGTTGGGTCTCCGCGGGCAAAACCCCAAACAAGAAACAAGAACAACGGGGAAGCCAGGCTTCGGGTCTCCGAGGGCAACAACCCCAACCAGCGCAAAAACGACCTAGACCTTGTAGACGAAAGGGGCCGCGAAGGCAAAGAGGCAGAAGAGGAGCAGGCCATCCCTAACCGGGCGAACAGGAAGTACAAGAAATAGCCCAGAGAGGGAAAGAAAAGGAAAGGGAAGAAAGAAAGGGGCGAAAGAGAGAAAGAAAGAGAGAGAGAGAGACAGAGAGAGAGAGAGAGAGAGAGAGAGAGAGAGACAGAAGCGTATTTAGGGCGTCGCAACCGCCCGGGGGAAAAAAAGAAAGGAGCAGGGTGCGTATTTAGGGCGCCGCATCCCGCCCGGGAAGAAGGAACAAGAAGCAAAAGGCAGGGAGACAAAAAGGAGAAAAGAAGGAAGAAGGAAGAAGGAAGAGGAAGAGGGAGTAGTAGTATGCGTTTTTAGGGCGACGCATCCCGCCCAGATAGGAACAGAGGATGAAGACCAAGGCTCGCGGAGAAAGACGTCGAATCCCACACAGGGGCCAAGAGGACGGACCCGAAGTAGCAACGGAAGGGGAAGAAGACGTCAAGCCAAACTACGTGAGGAAGAAGAGGAGTAGGAACAGGAAGACAGACGCGAAGACGAAGACGAGGAAAAAGGTGAACAACGCGAGGACAACCAGGCCATCCCTAAGCGGGCGAACAGGAGCGGGACGAACGCGCGGGTCACGAAAGGCAGCGAAAAGAGAACGGGAGGAAGGAGAAGCCATCCCTAAGCGGGCGAAGGACCAGAAGACGGGCACGCGGATGAAGAAGGCGAGAAAAAGGGGAAACGTAGGGTGAGACGTCGCTATGATCTGACCGCTGTCTTTCCTTTAGTGAAACCTCGTTCCTGGTTAAATGTGAAATTCCGCCGTTCTATGATCAGCACGCTGAGGTCAAATTTTCCGACAGAGCCGGCCCGGGGTCACACAATGGGTACACCCGAGGATTCCCCACGAATGGGGTGTACACACTTAAACTCCAAATGGAGAGTGCTAATCTTTCGAGTACAACTGATGAGTCTCGAGTACAACTGATGAGTCTCGAGTACAACTGGGGACAAACCCCATCGGCTTGCTGGTCACTTGGCTTCCCTGTAGTTACTTCAACAGGGAAACAAGGAAGCAACAGCGGTTCAGGGGGGGACCAAAAGGACGTTCAGAGCATCACGACTTTCTCAAATTGCAGGTACGTCCAGAAGGCGTCCCTTCCGGATTTCACGACCAAACCATCACTGTCTTCGTTGGGCAGTGAGTGATGGCGATCCACTGCCCCCCTGCTGAAAATCGGAAAAGGTGGTGACAGGGCATTCTGTCACTCCGCACACACACACACAGGAATCAGCGAAACGAACGCGGAACGCCGCCACGCCGCTCGCCTTCTCCGGATCGCATCTCACAGCACTTGTACCCATCCTTGTTCACAGCCTGTCGATGAAACCACGAGCCCAGTCGCAAGTGGTGTTAGTTTGTGCTACGTTACTTTACTGTTGTGTGTTCTTAATGTGTAATTACCCTCCCATCAACAAACGTGGAACCTGACAAAGGGGGTCCTGGAAGTCGATTGGTGGGAGGGTACTGATCTGCGTCTGGTGAGTCAATGCTCTTCAAGTCTTTGCGCCGACAAAAAGCGGCGAGTGGAATATCGAGAGCGGAGCTTCGCTTTCCGAATGTGCAACCCAAGTGAATCCAGTTGCCCATTTATGGGGCCAACACCCCCTACTAACCCACCACCTGTGTCACTCCGGGTTCGCATGTTTCCTTTTTGCTTGGTGTCCCTAAACATGCTCAACTCACCCTAGTGCATCTAGTTGTCTCTTAACCGGAATCAAACAGGCCCTGTGAGATCCGAACCCTTCCAATGTAGATCGCCTGAAAGCATCCTAAAGCGCCATTTCTTAACCTTCTTATGTGTTACCACGGAAAACCTTTGTGTAGCGCATAATGTTCATGAGATGGCTATCTTCAATCTCTTTACATCTCATGTCAGCTCTCTTGTCCCTTATGTTCATCTCTGTATTGTTGGACGAGAGAATGAAAAGGAGATAGGTGAGTGAGTGTGAGGAATGGGGCATCCTTCTTGCACACCCATCCTTCCAAGAAATGGTCTAACATAGGAAGGTAAGGAGAGAACTGGAAGATTGGGCGTGTGATTCCTTTCTTTCTCTCATTAACCACCATGTGTCTATGTGCATTTGCGAAGCAAGCCTGACCGAATTTAGATCCATTCGGCATGGTAAGTCGAGAAGTCCTCTATGCCATCCACAGGCTGGGGAACCACCCTGTCCAAAAGAAACATGTCTTACCTCGAAAACCACACATGTCCGAAGGAACATGTCTCATTTTTTTGAAACCACCGAAATGGAGCCCACAAAAACGACGTGCAGCTTTCTTCCCGTGCCATTCAAAGGGTCACCAAAAGGCGCATGCTCAAAACCAACATTTTCATGTCTCAAACTCAGACGTCCCATGGCAGAGAATGGCCAAGGATGTTTAACTAAACTTGGCCCACACGTGTATTCCAAAAATGATATGTTGAAATGATCCTTCACATTTAGTCTACCCTGAAATATTTACGAATCTCGGAGCCCACGTTTCTAGCAAACTGTCGTAATTCCAGGAAGCCCTGGAGAACGATCTCAACCACATACTTTATTACTATTTGGTCGGGATTGAGGCTCACTTCCTGAGTGGATGGCCCCAAAAAAGTGTCTGACTTTTCTTTCTACCACTGAAATGCTCTTCCCAAAACGCATAAAGTCCAGGAACTCAGGAAGTGAGGGGGAAACGCCTGAAGCCTTTTCTGCTTAGGCCCATCAGCCCAGTGGCCGGCTCTTTCACGTTCGTCGTGAGCCTGGAGGCACGGACCAAACTGCCCAAAAAATGCTCAGTTGCCCTTTTTGGGACCCGGAGATGAAACAGGGATCCTTACATGAAGACCACCTGAGTCGCAATCTGGTACGAAAATGGTCTACCCAGAGCCATGTACAGGATTAAGAAGGCGGCCGCGCCCATGTATGGTTGGCATCGTCCCTTACTAACCCTCACCTACCCGGGTTTTGATTGTGGCTCAGCTGAACATTACCGTGTCCCTTGATTTTGGTGTTGAAAAAGCCACATGTTTCAAATGGTTGCAAGCTGTATCTTTTAAGGAGCCCTGGAAAAGGCTAACCTTCTGGGACCATGGCTAAAACTGGACCCACATGGGAAAACCAAGACACAGGAGATGCTACGGGAAACCCCAAACCTGTTCCCGGCTGGGTGCTCAATAAATAGGAAGTCTGGAGCAGATAAACATTGCCCATCGCCCTTTGGGCTCCATTTGGGTAAGTCAACAATTATCAAAGGAAGTTTATCAAAGGAAGTTTAGAAGGAACTTCCGTGTTACGGCAACTAATTGAAAGCTAGCTCTCTGAGAAATGACAAGAGAAGGAATAAGCCCGCGAGAAAAAGTGCGCGCGCGTATGGCAGGGGAAGAGAAAGTCGCAAAAAGCGTGGCTTTGTGCGTGAATCGGCATTTTCGAAGATGAGAAAGTCGCAAAAAGCGTGGCCCTGTGCGCGAATCGGCGTCTCCGGAGATGCGAAAGCTAGCCTGTCCGCGGCGTCTGGTCGGAGCGGTCTCGGAGCGGTCTCGGAGCGGGCTCGGCGCCGGGACCATTGGCACGGCAACGCAGAGGTTTCGCAAGGATTGAATTGCGTGGCAGGCGCAGCATTTTGGTGAAGTCGGGTGCAGATTTCGTGGCAGGCGCAGCACTTTCGCAAGGCCAACTTTTCTCAAGGATTGAATTGCGTGGCAGGCGCAGCACTTCAAAAGGTCAGGTGCAGATTTCAAGGCAGGCGCAGCAATTTCGCAAGGTCAAGTACAGATTTCGTGGCAGGCGCAGCACTTTCGCAAGGTCAAGCGCCAAATTCGTGGCAGGCGCAGCACTTTCGCAGGTCAAGTACAGATTTCGTGGCAGGCGCAGCATTTTTGCAAGGTCAACTTTCGCAGCCGGGTCGCAAATCGCAACTTTTAAGTACGAAAGTAGTACGCGAAGTCAACTTTCGCAGCTGGGGCTTGAAAATCGCAACTTTTAAGTACGAAAGTAGTACGCGAAGTCAACTTTCGCAGCTGGGGCTTGAAAATCGCAACGTTTAAGTACGAAAGTAGTACGCGAAGTGCACTTTCGCAGCTGGGGCTCGAAAATCGCAACTTTTGAGTATGAAAGCAGTACGTGAAGTCCACTTTCGCAGCTGGGGCTTGAAAATCGCAACTTTTAAGTACGAAAGTAGTACGCCAAGTCAACTTTGAGGGATTGAAAATCGCAACTGTTAAGTGCAGATATAGATGGATAGATACATAGATAGATCGATAGACAGATTGAGAGATAGCTGGAGATAGATAGAAAGAGATAGAGAAAGAGATAGATAGATGGATAGATAGAGAGAGAGAGAGAGATAGATAGATAGATAGATAGATAGATAGATAGATAGATAGAGAGAGAGAGAGAGAGCAAGATAGATAGATAGATAGACAGAAAGAGAGAGAGAGATAAAGAGATTGAGAGATAAATAGATAGATAGAGAGATAGATAGATAGATAGAGAGAGAGAGAGAGCGAGAGAGAGAGAGAGAGACAGAGAGATAGATAAATAGAAAGAAAAAGAGATAGATAGATAGATAGATAGATAGATAGATAGATAGATAGATAGATAGATAGATAGATAGATAGATAGATAGATAGAGAGACAGAGCGATAAATACATAGATAGATAAACGATCTACAAACAGATAGATAGATAGACAGATAGATAGATAGACAAATAGATAGATAGACAGATGGATAGATAGATAGATAGAGAGATAGATAAATAGATAGAAACAGAGATAGAGAGAGAGAGAGATAGGTAGATAAAGAAATACATAGGTAGATAGATAGATAAATGGATAAATGGATAAATAGATAGAGAGATAGATAGATAGATAGATACATAGATAGATAGAGAGATAGATAGCTAGATAGATAGAGAGATAGATAGAGAGCTAGAGCGATAAATACATAGATAGAACGATCTACAAACAGATAGATAGATAGACAGATATATAGATAGATAGATAGATACATAAATACATAGAAACAGAGATAGAGAGAGAGAGAGAGATAGATAGATAGGTAGATAGAGAAATACATAGGTAGATAGATAGATAGATAAATGGATAGATGGATAAATAGGTAGAGAGGTAGATAGATAGATAGATAGGTAGAGAGAATGAGATAGACAGGTAGATAGAGAGATGGATAGATAGGTAGGTCTATAGGTAAATAGAAATATAGATAGATAGATAGATAGATAGAGAGATAGAGAGATAGAGAGATGGATACATACACGTGAGATAATGAGATAGAGACATAGATGGATAGAGAGACAGACAGATAGAGAGAGAGAGAGAGATAGATAGATAGGTTGAAAGAGGGATACATAGAGAGATAAAGAGATAGATAAATGGAGAGATAGACAAATAGAGAGAGAGAGAGATAGATAGATAGATAGATAGATAGATAGATAGATAGATAGATAGATACGCGGGAGATAGATGGAGAGATAGATGGATAGATAGATGGATAGATAGAAAGAGATAGAGAAATAAATAGAGAGGTAAATAGATAGAAAGAAAGAGAGATAGAGAGATAGAAAGATAGAAATAAAGAGAGATAGAGAAATAGATGGAAAGATAAATAGTTAGATAGATAAACAAACAGAAGATAGATAGACAGATAGATAGATAAACAGATAGAGAGATAGATAGATATATCGAGAGAAAGAGAGATAGATATATACATAGATAGATAGGTAGATGGATAGAGAAATAGATAGATAGATAGATAGATAGATAGATAGATAGATAGATAGATAGATAGATAGATCGATAGATAGATAGATAGACAGACAGACAGACAGATAGATAGATAGATAAATAGATACAGAGGTAAATAGATAGATAGATAGATAGATAGAGAGAGAGAGAGACATAGAGGGATATAGAGAGATGGATAGATAGAGAGATAGATAGATAAGCAGATAGATAGATAACACGAGAGTTAGATAGATAGGTAGTTAGGTAGATAGATAGGTAGAGAAAGATAGACAGACAAGCAAACAAAAGAAAGAAAGAAAAGACAGATAGAAAGAAGGAAAGAAGGGAGGAAGGAAAGAAAGGAAGAAAGGAAGAATGACGGAGAAAAAGAGTCAAGAGAAGAAAGAGAAAGAGAACTATAGTTTTTGTATTATTGAAACTTCCGCCCACCGGCTCCGCCGGCTCTACTGGTAGTGTTTCATTTGGCTTTCTTGGGTAAACTGAGGGCCTTTCTGACAACCGAATCTTGGTTGGGCCTTCTAAAAAAAGGCAGCCAAACGTTTCGAAACCTGCTTCTCTATGGGTCAACCACCAAAATGACCCAACTTGACTTCTGCTAGAGATGCGGTATCTGACAAGGGGAAGTGTGATGTGATCCATTGGGTTACTGTGGACCCCATTTTAATCCACCCCGGTGAATTAATACGGGGTGTTGCCCTCCAAAAGTAGTCTGATCCACTTTGAACTCAGGGAAGCCCCGTATTTACATAAACTGGGCTGACTAACATCTTGGTTGACGTTGGAAGGGGAGCAACAAATTAAATTTTAGCAGTTAAGTGGGGATTTCAAACACTAAACCACAATGAGCAAAAATGATTCCAATGTTTCCCAACAACAACCATGATGTAGGGTCAACATTACACTTCGAGAGTCCAGCTTTCCCCCCCTTGCCGTCTGTGACAGCCGATGGAAACGGAGTCAAGCCATCCGCGTCGATTGGGCTGGGACGTGGCCAAGGAACCAACCCAAAAAGTTCTCCGTCTTCAGCGGATGCGTCAACGAAATACTGCTCAGCGAAGCGCAAGAATGACTTTGCGAATGAGTCGCCCATTCAGCTATACTTTCACCACTTGTAGAGGAAACTCCTGTTGGGTTGGGCTCCATGTCCACCTGTAGGGGAGTATGGTTCAGAAATACCTTTCAGATTCATTTGAGGGCGTGGTCAATGCCTGCCGCTTCCCAGCCCTCTTCAAGCACAAAGACTGGAAGCCCTTGGCACCTCATTTGGCCTTCACAAGGCTATGAATCGCTTATCACCTAACCCCCCTCCCCTCCCCTCCCTGCCCCGTTGAAACTCACCCAGTCCCACACTCTAAATCCCCCACCCCCCAAACGCCCGGACCCCACGAATCGTCGACGCAGCGTGAAGCGCCTTATGTCGGAGTCCTCTCGAACCCCCAGAGCCAGGGTCACAAGCAGCAAGCCTCGGGCTCCGTCCACTGGAGCAACACAACACGGCTCGTGTATCCGCTGGATACTCACAACTATGGAACACAAAAGGGGGCAAGTGGAAGTCTGAAAAGCAGTTTTTCCTCCCACAGATGGGTGGCTTTTTGTTGAAGGGTTCCAGGTGAATCAGAAGTTGGATCTCCAGGCCTTGAGGCCCCAAGACTTTTAGTGTAAGATCCCAGCCATTTCGCCAGAAGGAACCAGACAGTAACGCCGCAGCAGAATCCAGCAGATCCTTTTGCCATTCTCCTGTTGCCCTTTTCGGTAGGCAATCCTTCGCATGTCTCTGGAAAAGCTTTGCAAGGAGTATGGAATCTGCAGGCAACTTTTGTGACAAGGAGATACTCCAATTATCTTCACATTGTGGACAATACGGTGGATGGACGAAATCCCACTTGGAAACCATGGTTGAAACCATTGTTTGCTGGTATTTACAGGGAAATCGGATAATTTTCCAGGGTTCTTCGGTGGTGCCGATGGTGGATTTCGCAACCATCCACAGCATGTCCCGTGACATGGGATTCTCTAAAACGCAAGGAAGCCCCAGTGACTCTTTGGAGCTTCATGAGGCTTTGGCGCGAGTGGATGGATCCAAGTGGGCGATCTCCCACTGAACATGAGTCTTCCATTTGCTGAAGCCCTCTGGGAAAAATGGAAACTATTTCCTGTAGTGATTAGCACTAACAGGGGAGTGAGTTCAAGCAAGGAAAGGAGTCCAAAACTTCGTCTTCAAGTCAGTTCAATCCAGTGGTCACGGAAAATAAAAGGGACCCTCCAAAAAAGCAGAGGCCACCACTGGAGGTTCAGCTTGCAAGTCATCGAATCGAACATCGAGAAGCTCGCCTTAAAAGGTCTCTGGTGTACCTCACAAATGGCATGGAGTCCCCCCGCCGGAGCTCTTTGATCCCAGTCCCCCTTTTGTTTGGTGGGTTCGGTTCCCACTAATGGTCAACCCGAAAGAGCGTCACCAGGAAGGCGCTGAAATCTCTGCTTCTCTGGAAAGATGCTCGCCTCCCACATGTCCTCTCTTGCTCTTGGACCTTTGAAGAATCAAACATGGCTCCTTGGGTAGAGTCACCTAGATTTTGCGTTTGGCTTACAAGAAGTGAAGCGGAAATGGCCTCACCACCTACATGTGTGTATGCAGGTACAATGTCTGCTTGCAACGTTCATGTCACTTGGTCCCAGCTACATGCCGCCAAGGGCCTACACAACCCCAGCATTCCGATTTCAGAGTGTATATATATATATATAGTTGAACTCGGTTGCTTTCTGGTCCCCTGCTAAAAGTTTTAACTTTTAGTGGTTTAATGGAAAACCCATTAGTTGGCAAAAAGTTAAAGTCCTAACATCCAAGCAAAATGCACCAAAGTGAAAGCTTGTAGGTAGCTTTGAATTATATACTCACAGGGGCATGCCCGACCAACACGCCGTGCAGAAATGGCCTGACTTAGGCAATTTATACTAACAGAGTCTTCCATTGCCAGCTGGTGAATTCCGGATCCAAGCATTCATATAAGAAACATAGATGTGCACACATTTAACTGTGGCGTACTGCACATTAATATGTACATGCACACACACAACATAACCTGGGTTGCGGCTTGCAACTGGTTTCAGGCTACTGACCAACACCGCACAACGTAGAGGCCAAGAAAGTCGGACGCCTCTATTTCCCCTTACCTCACCCTTTCCAAGGAAAACTCAATGATGCCAAAGGGGACTCCTGTACGCCTGTACTCCAGTGTAGCGGGGGTAAATCGGGGCTGTTGGCGCCAGCTTGGTTCCTGAATTCCAACTTTGGACCTGGAAAATGGAAAAAGGCAAACAAGATTACACTTTCTCGACTGTAAATTTACATTATCAAAGGACTGAGGACTGAAGGGAACTGTGAGAGAACTTAAGGGAAAAAGGGAACCCGGAAAAAGCAAAAGGGCCAATCGGCCATTGAATCCAGGGAACCAGGAAATGACGATTGAGTCGTAATCAAAACCTGGTACAAAAATGGTCTTAACCCCAGAACCATGCTTCAAGAATTAGAAGGCGGATATCCGCTATTTCTGGCAAGGGGATCGTCCCTTACTAACCTTCATCTACCCGGGTTTTGACGATGGCTCAATTGGCCACGGAAAAAGCAAAGGGTCAAAGGTCGATTCGCTTTGGGCAACGTTGGTCTGGGCACTAAGTCAGCGGCGGATCAGCATCATCAAGCCAAATATTTCTCACACTACCTCTTCTGACTGCCAAAAAGCTCTCCGGCGGAAGCGCGCGTTCGATCGTTGACTGTCAAAGTCTCTGGCTGAAGCGCGAGACTGGCCGACGGGCGTTCAAATGCCGCGACCAGCAAGAGCATATTTGAATCCTTGGTGCATAATCTTGGAATCCCACAAGAAGAAAACAAAAACCAATCTGGAACCCCCCCCAAAAAAAGATTGTGGTAGTTCCAAGATTATGGAAGGGAACGTACAATTCACTGGTTGGCGATCAAGTCATCTCCAAGTGCGGGTGTTTCCGTGAATCACTCGCCCTTAGCATCATTGGACCATTGGTGTCTGAAGGCTTTGCAGATTGCACCGCCAAAATAGGGGCTTCTTGCTTAGTAAATGCATAGCAGCCAACCCACGGAATTTTGAATCTGGAGCATGATCAAAGCGGTAGCAGAAATGTGGGAACTGCAACCATCTTTGCGATACCACCAGAAGTCAACAATTGCCCCTCATTCAGCCTGAGGGTGGCATAGTTGCCTTGCCTACGTGTTCACTGGCACCCTTTCAATTGTCCAGGTGTTGTTCCCACTTAACATGGTTCAACGCCCCCTCCCCCCCAAAACGAAAGGACAGCATCTCCTCCACCATGGTCCCCCGAACCATTTTGCCGCAAAGATGATGCTGCTTCTTCATTGCCAACCGGGCGCTGGTTGCCGGAAGAACTTGCAACCTGCGTATCGTAACGTGGTTGACGAAGCTGAATCTGACCAATGTCTCCGCTTCATAAAAGGCTGCCTTAAACTGGTCATCTGCATAAGTCGGGTGCTTTTCCTCGGATTTCCCTTTCAAATCAGCCGGAGCTTTCCTTTATCATTGTCCACGCCGCAGGCTTCATGACAGTCTGGAGTGCAAATATAACCATGGGTCAAAAGCCCGTACTCCCAGTGAACAGCCCAATCCCACTAAAATAGACTAAAGTTGGTGGTACCCCTAACCCAAAATGGTAGCATTGGTTTATATTCGTTTTGACCCACAGCCATATGGGGTTGTGAAAAAACCGCGTGTCAATTGTGCAGTCCCCCAAACGTGTTATCGTTCTTTTCACTCTTGTCGTTTTGCAAGGGTTTCACTCTGTAGCGCGAGTCTGGCATGCGAACTGCACTTCCGCAGCTATCGCAACTTTGTAGTACAAGTCTAGTACGCGAACTACATTAAACACAGCTCCAGCTCGGGGATCGCAACTTTCTAGCACAAGTCTAGCACGCGAAGTACACTTCAGCAGCTCCAGCTCGGAAATCGCAACTTTGTAACACAAGTCTACTACACGAAGTACACTTCCACAGCTCCAGCTCGGAACTCGCACCTTTGTAGTACAAGTCTAGTAAGCGAAGTACACTTCCGCAGCTCCGGCTCGGAAATCGCAATTTTGTAGTACAAGTCTAGTACACTTCCACAGCTCCAGCTCAAAAATCGCAACTTTGCACAGCTGCAGCTTGGAAATTGTGACCGATGCCCTGTTATCTGTTTTTTACTCTTATCGTTTTGCGGGGTTTTGGAAGCAAGAACTATTCAGGGGCACGTCCCTTCATAATTCTTAGGAGCGGGGTTATTTCACAATCCCATATGATAATCAAGCCTCACATTCAAGTTCCCGCTGACACAGTTAGCGTCAAGGGCCATGCCTCCTAATGTGGAAAGCCACACCAGCCACCGGAAAACTCGGAAGAACCAATTCACCACATTCATGTGCCTGTGTTATATAAGGGACCCCAAAATGGTTGCGTCTCCGCAGGTTTCCAGCCTGAAAATGGGTACCCTAAAAACAACACATTTTGCCAACCGGAAGGCAGGCGCCAGTTGCTCCTCCAGCAGGGTCTTGTCCGACAAGAGCCTCTGCTGATAATCGCAAAGGTCCTGGCCCACGGGTGTATGCGCATTGATTTTTGTTGGTGTGTGTTGTTTGACATCAAAGTATGTGTCGTCACGTTGCAAAGAAAAAAGCAGAAGTAAAAGCCACCAGTGGTTGCGGCTTCAATGAGATGAAGTGATACGTGGCCATCGTGATGGCCATTTATATCGCTTTCCAGGGAAACCCTTCGTATCCCTTGTTGCGTGTGTGTGTGTGTGTCTACAAGTGTGCAGGCCCGTTGGGGCTTGAAAAAACTGTCAAAAGGTTGCCATTGAATGAAGGCTCCAAGCTTGTTTTGGACCCCTCTTCCTCCCTCCACTTCCTTCATTCTCTTTTTCTTTCGTATCCGAGACGCGGATCGCGGCCAAACACCCACTGCCAAAACAAACACAGGGGCCCCAAACCCCTCCTCTCCCTTTTCGCCCATTCAAACTGGGCACCTTGTTGTGACGTGCCACACAGCTCTCCCTGTCTCTCAGATCCGGGTGAATTTTGCGGCCAGGAAGCCAGCATGTGATCAGAGACCAAGACTTGTCGGGGACTCCGAATCGCAGGTGCGCCCATTTTCTGCTGGACATCATGTCCAAAAACGAAAAAGTTTCGCCCGGCCTCTGCAGCAGCTGCTTTTTTGGAGTGTTGGAAGAGGTCAAATACCTCCCCTGAAGGGCGTTTCTTTTCGGGTATCTTTGGTGGCTACGGCCGGGTTCTGTCAGGCGTTTCTCTGAAACCGGTGTGGCCTTTTCCATGGCGAAGTCTGTCACAAGTGGAAACGCAACAACTCCTCAAGCAAATAGACCCTCCCAACCACATCTATGTTTCTACTAAAACAACCAAGAAGGACACCTATGCTCCCAACATGGTTTGGTGCACCAAATTGTGTGTCACTTGCTGCTCATTTGGGATAGGCTTTTTGTTTGCGAGTCAGTCTTGGTCTACATGTTCATCTTTAGTCGGAGTCAAAGTGTTAAGCCAAAAGGCTGTTGTTTGTGGGAGGCTCAGCCCAAAGCAAAACAAACTAGACTAACCAACGCATCTGACACGAAAAGTTTGAACCCCCCCGGACAAAACAGCTTCTCAAGTCTTCGAACCCACACTTTCTCCCGCTTTTGGTTTGCCGGTCTCGTTTTTGATCACCGCCGGCCTGGGTATTCTGTGGCACCTCAAAGGCGAAAAGTTGATCCTCGGCGCGCACCTGGCGAGTTCAACTGCTTCAGCTCCAAGCAGAAAACCAATGATCCCCCACCGGCACTTCAGTGGAGTCAGGAAAGCAACCAGACTTTGCGCTTATGACTATGTGGACTTTTCTTCAGTTTCCCTCTCCGATTGGTGGTTGGATTGGTGGTGAAGGAAGGGTTTCCCATTTACCCTCTAGAAAAGCTAGGGGTTCGAATCCCCAAACCACCAATCCAAACCACCAATTCAGGGTTACACAATTTCTTTTCTGGGCGGGAGGGGGGAAGAAGCCCAGGCCCCAAAGAGAGAAAACCCCCGAAAGGACCCGAATCTTCAATTGAACCCTCCCTGGCTCAAACCCCAGAGAAGATCTGGGCAAGGACCCTATAACTTTCGGCTGTTTGGGGAAAAGACAACACGTTTAGCGCTCTTGGTTGGTTATTAATACCCTAAGCAGGCAAACCAACAAATTGAAATCTTTCTTTTCTGAAGACTAAGCATCAGAAAGGACCGTCCATGCAAGGGATCTCCATTGGAAGGGTGACGGCACGAAATTGAGAAGAGCTCCTTGAGGTGCCAGGATTCTGAGGGTTGCGTTTTTTAAGGGACCCCCAATTCGCACCCACTGGCTGCGAATTGGAACAGATGACAGCCGTACCCACAGTGGCGGTGCAGCTTCTGAAGGTCAACCCTGCAGGTTTCCAAAGAGCATTGAGGGTACCCGAGGCATGCCCCAATTTTCCACAAGGAAGATCTTCGGATTCCGAAAGGAAACAAGTGCACAAGGCTGTACTCCTCACCCAAGATAATGTTGACCTTCGGCTAAAGCACCTTGCTTGCATGGCTATGAATTAATGTCACACTCGCTTGATCAGAGGGTTTAGAGGGACTCCTTCATTCACTTATCTGGAGAACACACAATCTTTTCATCCACCTATAACATGGCATATGGGGAAAAGACAGTAACTTTCGTCCACCAGCTTTCCGAATCCGGACCGTATTACTTTGGGGGCCAGTTAGCAAGGATCAGGTTGGAGTTGAGTGAGGATTCGCCCCAGCAAAAGGCGACCTTTTGACGTAAACCCTTTTGCGAAGTCCATGGAATTCCGACCTTTCCGCTCCTCCCTCTTCCAAAGGTTGTTTGTCCAGTCAGATTGCTGTGTTCTTCTGACCAAGGGGGGCTATGGGGGGTGGGGCTATCCCATAAGCCCAAAAGAAGCCCAGGAGAAGCCCAGGAGAAGCCCTGAATGAGGCTTTGGGGGGGGTGGGGGTTTCCAACCCGACCCAAATCCAAACGCCAAAAACACGCCGGAGGCTGCGTCGGACAGGGGCAGGTTCGGATCCAAATACCTCCATGTGTCGTGCACATGGGTGTGCCCCAATAGGCAACATACCCCTATAGGTGTAGAAGTTTAATCGGCGACATTCATTTTAGGTGGGGATTCATGTCCACTAACCACTCTTGAGATGTTGTTGTTTATTGAAATTCATGGCCATAGGACTTCAAAACATAGTGCCAAATCCTTTGGCAATCCAAGGTAAGGAGCAAGGGTTCGCATTGAACAGCCCAGTATACAGCGGGTTAGGGCCAAAAAGGAGGGGCATGTTTTCACACCTTCCCTGTCGATGCCCGTTCTCTGATTGTGGCTCCGCCACAATGTTGAATGAGCATCATGTCACCTATTCACTGCAGGATGCTTGACATCGGGTAGGAACTTGTGGGTATCCACCAGGGGGCGGCCTTTATTGTGAACCACCCGTGTTGTTTTCGGACCTAAGCTCTTCTTCGAAGCGAGCAGCTCTGTCTACGGGCAAAAGCTGCTTCCAAGGCCCAGGGCATGGGTTGGCACTTGCGCAGTGGCTCTGGCTTGATTGGTAGTGGGGTAATACGGGAAGAAGCGCAACAAAAAGGGACAAGGGGTACAAACTGAAGTGGAGCAACGATCCCACGCAGTCCAAACTCAGACCGGTTGCCCCAGTTGCTCGCGGCAAGGGATGGGGCAAAAGGGGGGGAGACATCCATTGAACTGAATTGTTCAAAATGAAGTGTTGGCCAAGCCTAATGCATAATCCCTATAGGGAAACGACTGTAACCCAGGTACGGATCCTGCAGATTGCCTTTGAACAGCCCAATCAAAGGCAAATCAAAAAAAGGTTGCATTCCCCCGAACAGGTGCAGTCAAGGCGGAACATGTCCGCAAGAGAACGAGCATCGAGTTGGTTGCTTAATTCACTGAAAACTGTGCAACTCATCAACCACGTTTTTGTTTTTTGTTTTTTGTGTGTGTTTTTTGTTTTTAAGGGGTGGGCGCCCCCTAGCAATAAACTGGGGTGGATTAATATGGGGTCAACATTCTAGGACACTGATCGGTTCCCCTACAATTCACACACACACATAACCATCCTTCGAGGGCTAATAATGGCGGCGTGAGCAAAAAGAAACACGTGGTGACGTCAAGCACGTGGTGACGTCAAGCACGTGGTGACGTCAAGCTTGGGGCATGCATCGCCTACAGAATGCAGAACACACTACTTACTTGACTTCTCCAAGGTCCTGCTTGCACACCCACATGGAAACACATCGTAGAAACCTTCCATTGCCTCATGCATATAATATTAATATCATGCATATAAGGATGGTTGTTGGGGTGTGCGACGTGGACGGCCCTTGAGCAGAACAATTCAGCAGGTGCATTTGGGGTAGGTCAGACCATTCAACTAGGACCTTGGACGTTACCAGATTGCAACTCCGCACCCAAACTCCCACTCATGATGACCCCAAATTAATCAACCCCTGCTTCTTTTTTGTATGGGGGTGTCCCTGGTCTTAGCGGGGGATTCAGACCACTTTGGGAGGGCAACACCCCCAGATTAACAAAGGGGTTCATTCATCTGGGGTTAACCTTCTGTCAATCTGAACACAGGTCTTTAAGGGTTGTTTTACAGTGTAAAAAGTGTTCAAGTCATGTGTGCAGACTCTGCTTCACATTCAGTCAACCTGAACATAACATGTCCACAGGAGACCCCAAATCAAGCCACCAACTGCTGAACTCTATGTCTGCACAACGAACTGGTGGAATACCATCAAGAGCAACACACTCCATGTAGCCTAGGCTGAAAATCGAGAAACTGGCGTTGGTGTCACATTGGCATATGACTGAAAATTACTTTCATCGCGGCATGCCTAAAGCGCATGTATCACCGTTACTTATCTGTAAGTGTATGAATGGAAGGCTTAGTGACAAAACGCATCGGCAAGTCAGATGTGACGAGCAAGCACCCGTACACATAAATGTGTATATATATATATATATATGTGCGCTTTGACATGTGTATACATATATATATATATATATGGATATGTATTGCTTGTGAGCACACCAGGCTCTACCGGCAAGGGGTACTTTGGTTCAAAATGAAGGGCGGTAAATCAAGGGTAACCGAAGAAGGGAACCCCTTGCTGAACAACCGCTGCTGGCTGGCCCTCGTTGAAGTCTGAAACGCTGAAATTCCCGCGTTCAGCCTTGAAGTGCGCAAGTCCAATCCCAGATGGCCTGAAGAGGCAGGCTACTTCACCCACTTCTCGCTGTCTGGGTTGGCCGAACTCTTTTGCTGACTAAAACGGGTCCAAAAAGGCGTACGAGTCCAACTCAAGAGGCGCATCAACAACTCCTAGACCCAAGGTTCCTCACCAACTCATAGACGGCTGTGTCGTTTTTGGAGGTTCCCACTTTTTTGGAGTCCCACTTTTTGGAGGGGTCCCACTTGATTTTTTAAGGGGTCCCACGTTTTTGGAGGTTCGCTGCGAGTCTCCCAGCCCCGGAGCTCCGTGCCTGTGAATGCGACTGCGGTAGACCTGCAGGATGTCAGGCGAATGCCCCGCACATGGGCTTGTGAGTTTGAGGGTCTTGGGGCTGAGAGAAGAGGGAAACCAGGAAAGCCGCCATTTTGGGGTCCCTTCAAGGTTTCCTTGAGGGGCACCCCTCCCTTCAAGGTTTCATTTGGGTTCGGGGATGCCAACAGCCAAAGACAAACGCTTTTCTAGGGGCTGTTTCCCCATTCTTTTCAGCCATCGTTCTTTTCGATAACTAGATCCGTTTTCCCTGGGTGTCTGGAGCTTTTCTAGAAAGATCCGGATCCCTGGGAAGAATTTTGGAAGGTACCCTTAGAACTTTTCGCGGCTGCGACCATTGCAACTGCCACTTTCCCAGATCCGTTTCCGAAAGCCGAAGCTCGGTGTTTCAGTCTGCCACGTGGCAACGGGTTTGTCTCTAAGCAAGGCAACGTATCGAAAATATGCCGCCAAAAGGGGAAACTTTGCAGTGTGTAAGTTGGTTGTAGGTTGGTTGTGGTTGGCCTCTGGCAAAGAGGTTCTGTATCTTTCTCTTCAAACATCGCCTAACCGAAAGGCCAGGCACTCCGAATGGCCAAAACTGTGATTTTTAAGTCAGGGGCCCTTCCCTCCTGGCATTCGCTTCCGGGTGAATTATAATATTGCACCAGCCTGAAACTTGCGGTGGTTGGGGCGCCATTCCCCACATAAACTACCATTTGGGGTGAGGTCGTTATGATTCACCCAGACGAGTCAATCAAAACCCGGTATTAACCTGGTCTACCCAGAACAATGTTTCAAGAGTTTAGAAGGCGGATATCCGCAGCTATTTCTGGCAAGGGCATCATCCCTTACCAACCTTCTACACGGGGTTTGATTGTGATTCAGCTTCCCTTTAAACGCCGGAAAGGATCTGCAACCTCCATTTGGTTGAGACCCCTGGAAAAATATATTTAAACAAAAAAAAAAGTATTTCCAGTAGTGATAGATTCCTTTTGAAACCAACAGGGTAACATAAAAAAACAAGCAACAAAAACAAATCTTAAGCAACTGGATCTGCCAGCAAAAGCGCCTCCGCAAGGAGCACTGCGGACAGTGAAACAGGCAGCCGCCGGGCTAGGCTCAGCTGGAGGCCTGGGCAATCGGGATGGGAGTTGGGGGTGTCCAGAGGAACCCAGAGGATGGTTTCCTTGTGGCATCCCAGAGGGCGTGGCGTTCCAAACAGAGGAACCCAGAGGATGGTTTCCTTGTGGCGTCCAAGGAAAAAACACAAACTTAGTCCCGAAAAAAGACACACATCTTGAGAGCTTGAACGGGGTGAGGCACCAGGAAACCCTCTGGACCTCCGAAAGACAACCCTGAAAGTAGGCCGAACATCTCCAAAGTCTGACTGAGTTCTTGCTTCAAAGGTTAATTTTGATGCTCCACCTTCCACTCATTTTTTGGGAGCAGAGCAGGGCAATCATCAGCGCTTCTGGCCATAAATATCAATTCTTGGCCCTGGCACAAGCGTAGAACTTTGGTCCCTGGTGAAGAGAGAGCGAGAGAGAGGGAGAGAAGGAGAGCCAGAGAGAGAGAGAGGAAAAGAGACAAAGACAGACAGAGAGAGAGACAGAGACAGAGAGAGACAGAGAGAGACAGACAAAGAGAGAGACAGAGAGAGAGAGAGAGAGACACAGAGAGAGACAGAGTGATAGGCAAACAAACAGACAGGCAAACAGACCGGCAGTCAGAACGAGAGAGGGAGGGAGAGATAGAGAGAGAGGGAGAGCAAAGGATCATTTGCAACTTTGTTTGTCTTGGGTCTTGGCTTCCTTTTAATATCGTTTGACTTCACCTGACAAGGGTACCAACTCGACAAAGCATTGACCCCACTAGCGTCCATCGAAACACCTCATTGGGTTGGTTTAAGGGGATTATGTTGTTTGTATTTTGTGCAATCTGATCTTCCATGCTGAATACCTCTTTTCGTCGCCGCTACCCGGCAAAAAAAGGTGAGTCTAGGGCCTTGGGGCCCGTGTGCCTTGGGATATAGTCCACACGGCTGCATCTTTGTTCGAGTGAACGTTTTGGGGTTTTGTTCAATACAGGGAAACTGAAAGGAAGCCGTTATGTCTTTGAGCTTTTCTACTTTCAGACAAACCTTTTTTTGCACTGATGGTCCCCTGTTTGCCCGGCGGAAACCAGTAAACAACAAACGTGGACCCTTGGTAGCTTGAAGGTCCCAGTGCCAGTTTTTCCCTGTAGTAGGTAACTGGAAACCCTTCGCAATTTGCCTTATGGCTTTTCAAGGGGTGGTTGCCAAACCCAAGGTACCTCCAAAAAGGACATACGCACACAACCACAAGTTTCCCTTGCAACATTCTCGGCCTACACGAAATAGAGAATCAGAAGTCAGAAGTGGAACAGAAATCGGACCATGTTTGACTTCCTGAGTGGGCTGGCCAAAAAAGTCTGAACTTTTTATTTACCACTGGTCCAAACCCAAACAGTTTGAGCCATACAAGGCACATGGATTACTGGAGCTACTGGGCCGACATCCTGCACCACCTCAGAAACCCTGGAATGATGATTCCCCTAACATTACCAACAAACAATGGTTTCACCCATGATTTCATTTCGTGGTGCGAAATGGATGCTGTCCATTCGTATGGATTCGACACGACTGGGCTGCCGGGCGTTTGGCACTGCTGGACTTGGGCACCGACACCTGAATTTTACGGGGGGAGACCAGCAGGCCAAAAGGAGAGAGCCGTCAAGTCGCACCCTAGATGGCCAAGTTGCGACCGCTTTTTCCAGTCACTGTGGCTGGTTGTTGGGGTAAGGCGCATGGAAAAAAGCAGCAACTGGCGATCCAGGACGTGTTCCTTTCCGGTGTCATGTCCGGGCTCGGCAAAGCTCTGCTTGTGGCTTCCTGAAGTGCCCAGGTACTGAATCGGAGTATACCAAGCAAAAAGCACTCGGGACCCATTCGGAGTTGGATCTCCAGATCCATTGGAAGGGTGAGGAACAAGGCCTCTTGGACGGTGCTTGAGAGGTGATTCTCACTCTTTCCAGCAATATTTCTGCTCAAAGCCTCTGTGTGCTTTTCAGGAAAGAAGGTGCGCTTTTAACAGAATGGGACATTACCCCTAGACAACAAAAGGCGCACCAAGACCGTTCAGGGCCGCTGTTGAAGCCCGGTGCTTCCAACTACCACTGTCTACAACTAGTGAGTACCCAGATCGGTTTTCCTCTTGGTTTTACCCTAAGCATCAGAAAGGACCCAGTGGAGGGGTCTGCATCTTCAGGCTTCTAAGGTCTTGGACCTCCAAAAGAGCAGACCAACCTCTCCAGGACCTTTCCGCTTCGGAACCTGACGTGAACCTTAGGGATCCTTTTTGCTCCTGTCGCTGGGGCTTTCGCTCCTTTGAGGTCAAAGTGGATGGGGTGAAAGGTTTCTTTGGGCGTTCAGAGTTGCCCAGCAAACGAAACAAATTTCAGGCGACCTTCTGCTTTAAAAAAAAAAACAGAAGGTCAGGAGCCGAGAAGCCGAGAGCCGGGTGTGTGATGGATGTGGATTCCTTGCGAGTGTCCTTTTCAATAAATGGGTTTGTGAAAATGCTGACATCCCCTGTTCAACTCGGTTTCAAGGAAAACCAACAGGATAAACACCGTTTTGTGGGAGCCCCTATTTTGACATGAACATGCATCGTGACACATAGCAGGTGCCCGTTTTGGGGTCAGCTTCACGCTAAAGGAGAAGGACTCAGTTTGGGCTACTCGTGTTGCGAGACAAACCAAGATACGTAATAATATGGGGTCGACCAAAAACAGATTTTGTGGAAAGCTTCAATGATGGCAATGAGCCCAGGGATCCGCGTATAGAAAGCAGGCATGGTTCATGGGAGTCGTTCCCTCATGTCCTACTAAGTACCAAGAGTATGTGACTCAAGTACCATGGTTTTTTGACTCAAGCACCATTCTTTTCGGTGAATGCCAAAGCTTGGGGCGGGGGGGGAGTCATTTTTGTCCCACAGGTGCGGGGGCGTGTCAGAAGTGAACTGTCTCTCTTGGCCCCGGACGGAGAAGCGCGAGAGCGCCGGCCGCTCCGAGGACAGCGCGGGGAAGAAGACCACCTGGCGCTCGCCGAAGTTCAGAGAGATAGCTGTAGGTCAAAAATAGGTACCCAGAAACACATGGACTAAAACCTGCGGTCTCATGGTGGTTTTTTAGACCCATACCCAGATCTGCAGATCTTCTGCGGCTTTTTCCATGGTTTGCCCTTGCTGCTCACTTCCGATCAAGTGGATCGGCACAACAGAAGTTGCACCAAACTGTTTGTTTACGACTAAAAGGGTCCAAACCCAAAAATATATCAAGTCCAAGAACTCAAGAAGTGAGGCTAGTAAAATTCACCGATCAGTCCCCTGGTGGGTTGTTTGCAAGGGGTTGCGAAGCACTTGCATTCAAGTCCCTCCAAACCCGTTCTGACAAACACTATCGTTGTTGTTTGGTATGGGTTCCCCGCCCGTTGTTTTTGTTCCGCTTCTTTCTTCATGTGAAGGCATGTCAAGAAGCTTCTAAAAGACCGAGACTGCCCGCATTGGGAAACAAAAGGAAAGGCACCGTTCTCTCGGCTGCAGTCGGCTGAAGCGCCCCCCACCCACCCGGAAAAACCAGAAAAGCAACGGAGAAAAACAAAAAAAGAGGAAGTGTGGAAACAAATGCGGCACCGTGGGAGGCCCGGCAGCGCCCCAAAAGGCGGAGTCCGAACTCCGCCTTGAGCTCAAAGGAGTCCGAGTGGTTGGCGGGGATTGGCACGCTCAGATAGCCTCAAGGCGTCGCGAGCACCCAACAAACGGTTTGAACGGGCAGTGATTCAGAACAAGACCTGGCTGCGAGGGCAAACCTCAGGTTTGCAAAAAATTGTGATCCCCACAAGAAGCAAAGCTGTTCACCAACCTTGTGGAATCTGGTTGGAGAAAGGGACGCAGTTGAAAAGCTACCAAGGCTGGCTTGGAGTAGTGGCAATTCTACATTGCATCCAGACATGGCCCCAAAAAAGTGTCCGAAAAGAGAAGCGTTTGGCATCTTGAAGGCATCTTCGAAAGGTGATGTGAGGGGCTGAATAACACATTGCCGCGCAAGAATGATCATGATTTGCTTTCTTAGTACCCACCAATCAAATTCGAAATCACAGTACCCCACTAGCTCGAATTCTTCCAATGGGAAATGGAACAGCCCAAATAGCTTGTTACCCTATCAGCTCCCCTAAGGTACCTGAATAGCCTACGAGTCACAAATGGGTGTGTCTCGACATAGGGGAACCACCAACATGATTTCGTATTGGTTTCCGATGAAACCCATCCAACAAGGGAACCCTCATAAAAAGCAAATAGCCCTTCAGCACCAATGGACGGGGGGCGCTTTTTGCCGATTTGGGAGTTTCTCCAAATGGAAAATCCCCCTCTTGGTTGGTACTTTAAAGGCAAACCGGCATGAAACCAACCATTTCACGAACCCACTTTTGCAAACCACCAGGAACCCGACCATTTTAGGGGACCGAATTCTATGTAGAGAAGCACCCATCTCTGTTGGCATCCCCGCGGAAGGGCTCGAAGGTGGAGGAGTTGTGCCCGCAGCTGCAGCGGAGCTGACTCCGCAGCTGGCCCTGTCGACGTCATGGGACTTGTTTCATGAAAAACAAGAAGGAGCACCGGTTGAGTGGAACAAACATGAGTCACAATCAAAACCCGGTATTAAAACGGTTGACCCAGAACCAAATGTAAGGAAATACAAAGGCGGCCACAACTGTTTATGGCTGGCATTGTCCCTTACTAACCTTCATCTACCCGGGTTTGCATTGTGGCTCACATGGGGTTTCCCTTGCTCAGGCCCGTGGGAAATGACCACAGCGATGCAAAAAAAACGCCTCCGGAAGACTCCCTTGATCAGACATGAGAAGTCAGTTCAACTGAGATCTCTCTCGCTATCGCTCTTGTCGCCCCCCGTTTCAGACTTGCAGCAGGTGGGAAATGACCATGATACCAACAAGGCCTCCCAAAGACTAAACCCCCCCAAAAGAGGATATTCTTTTTGTATCACAGAAGCGGAAGTGGGAATAACACCCGAGTGATCAAACAACCCCCTTGGTGGATTCCAGATTTTCATGGGGAGACCCTTTTTGTTGGAACTTGATGTTGAGGGGTGCCCTCCAATCCAAGGAAAAAGGCCCGCATGGCTGGGTGGGGGAACTTGTGGAGGGAACTGAGTAGGGGGCGTCACAACACCGTCGACAAGCTAAATACGAACCCCTCTACAGCCTTAGGGGGGGGGGGGGTCATTTTTAGCTTCAGGTTAAAAGGGTGCTGAACATATCCCGCGGAGATAGGGAGTGTTACTTTAGGCCGCCACAAACAAACATGGAAGTGCAAAGACTCTCTTGGACAACTCCTTTTGCCAATTCCGGAAGGGCCCCCTTGAACCGCCCCAAGGACACCGAAGGACCCGTCACTACAACACGTCAAGTACGCAAATGAGTCACAATCAAAACCTGGCACAAAAATGCTACACAAAAACATGTACAGAATCAAGAGGGCGGCCGCACCCATTTCTGGCTGGGATTGCCCTTTACAACCAATATCTTCCCCAGCTCTGATTCTGGCTCACATGAAGCCAAATGGGCATTTCGGGTTCCCCTTTGGGCGATTTTGGCGTGGCTTTTGTTTGGAGGGGACCTTTGGGTGGTTTCCGAAGGGAAAAGGAAAACCAGCATTTGGTTGGGGGTGGGAGGGGAGGTGAACCTATTTGAACACCCAGAGCATTGCTGTTCACCCAAAGGTCCCCTCCAAAAAAACAAACAAAACGACACGCCAAAAAATCACCCAAAGGGATGGAGCACTCCAAAAAAAACGACACCCCCAAATCACCCAAAACAGAAATGGAGTAGTTCCCGGAACTCCAATTCCCAGCTTTTTCTCAAGCCAACCGACGCACCTCGAAGACGTCCCCCACAAGGCTCCGGTTCTGCGCCCGGTAGCGCTCCCAAGTGAGCGCCGCCTTGAGGCGAGGGGGGCAAAAAGGAGGGCTCTTTGGATGTTCAACTATGTCCTCAAGACAGGTTAGAATAAGTTGGTACCCGTTTTGTTTTTCCCCCTCTTGTCTGTAGTCTATTTTAGTAGGGGAAACCTCCCCCAAAAAAGGGTAAAAGGGCACTACTGGGCGACCTAGTACCTACCCTCCCATCAATGAACCTGGAAGCTGATAGGGAGATGGTCAATCTAAAAGGAAATTGGTCTTCCAGGACCCCCCTCCTGTCAGGTTACTTGTCTAGGTCCTCCAGATTTGAGAGGTTAGAATAAGGGCACCCGATGTTTTTTTTTTTTTTTTTTTTTTTTTTTTTTCTGTAGTCTATTTTAGTAGGGGAACCCTCCCCAAAAAGGGTAAAAGGGCACGTGGCTGGGGGACCTGTCAACCTACCCTCCCCTCAACGAACCTGGAACCTGACAGGGACATGACCCCTGTAAAAGGAAATTGCCCTTCCAGGACCCCCTGCTAGGTTCCCTGTTAATTGGTGGGAGGGCAATTAGAACATAACTTTCCTGAACCTTATTTGGTTCTAATTCATAATTATGATAACGTCAGCCAACCAACCCGATGTTTGACATGGAAGGTAAACCTGGTATTTAAGCATGTGGCGGCAGAAAAAAAAGAAAAAGAAACAAATAAAACAAAAACTGGGGCTGAACAAGACACACCCCCAAAGTGAGTGTCCTTGCATGTTCAACCTACTTAGGCTACAACTACGATGAAATCAGCCAAACAGCTGATGCAACATTGGAGATACAGAACGTGAGTGCCCTCGGATGCTCAACCTGCCTGGGCTATAACCATGGTGCAATCAGTCGACAACCCCGGTCCCACTTGTAATCATGCATGCTTATTACCAAAGCAAAAAGGTTGAACATCCAAGTCCTTATGTTTTGCCGCGGGAAGGGCCGTGAACAGGTGGGGATTCAATTACTAACCACTGGCTGGCCTCCAGTAATATTTCTTGAGAAAGAAAGAAACTGCTTCGGGTCTCCCCACCTTCTCCTCGTCTGTCAGCTTATCCTCGTCCACCTCCGTCTCCTCCTGAGAACTCTAAGCTGATGGCACACCCGGGACCAGCAAGTTCGCTCAATTTACGTTGAGCAAAGGCAGCTCAAAGTATATCATCGTCTTAGTAGTGGCCAGCGCTATTGGCACAACAAGTTGAAATGCCTGCCAAGGTCCTACCTACTGTACCAAGATGGTTATCAAGGCTTAACTATCTGGTTGAACTACCATCCCATCGTGCGACTTCTTTTGGGGAAACGCCCAAAACGTCAACTTGAAATAAGAAGTGGATCAAGAAAGAAAGCTTCACTGGGAACTGTGTCGCAACTTTCCGGTAGGTGCTCAGTAGGGAATGAGGGAAGGACCCCTATAAACCATCCCATATGGTCTTCTTCAAGGGAAACCCTAGGTGCATTCCCTCATTCCCTACTGAGCACCAGCAAGATTATAGTATGTTTCTTGGGCCCGTGGGTATCTCCTTGGCTGGGCACTTCAAAGAAGCTGGACACCTCCCATGTGTTCATGACCAGACTGGGCTGTCCTTTCAGATCCCCCGCTAAAAGTCTAAATTCTAGTGGGTTAAATGCAAATCCAACCACGAAACACTAAAAAGCTAAGAAGCTAAAAAGCTAAAAAGGATGGCTTGGAACCACCAAGCCATAAAAAACAAACTCAAAAATGGTTGGTGGACTCAAATCCCCCACCCAAACGATGCCCAACATTCCCAATCTGATCCTGGATGTCCTCGTGCACGGCGTCCGACTGCTGCGGCGACACGGGATCCTGGGCTGGCGCAGAGTGGCCAACCAAACTCCTTTTAAACCAAGGTTGTAAACAAAATTATTTTCAAGCCGACGGTTTGACGCCACAGATCAAGATCCATTCGACCCGAAAGTATATATATTCCTTCAGTCCGTTCAACTCAATTGAAACAAAGTCATTTCAAATCCTTCGTGGATGCCGCATCATCCTCAAGGCCAGCAGCTGAACCAGCGGGGAAAGTGGATTGCCAGAAATCTACACCATCCTAGCAGACAGGACCCGCCATGGGAGTAAGGGATCTCTATTGGAAGGGCTTGGATCTCAAAACGACCCTGTTGGAGGTCCAAAGATGTGGACCCTTCTGATGGTCCGACCCTTTGAATCACAGAACCATCAAGGAATCCAGGAAGCTTCATTGTGCCTCGTGTTCCTTGATAACAAAAGAAGGCAATGGTTGTGGAAACCAACCCTTTCTATGATACCAATGCAGGCCATCCTTGTGACGTTGCCTTGTTCAAGGAGATTCCCTTGGTATCATAGAAAGTGGCACCAAACCCTGTTTCTCGCAACCACGCATGGTTTTGGGTATACCAGGTGGTCAAACTGTGTTCGTCGCCTGACCTACCTCAGCCTCAACGTTTGCCGCCACAGCAAAAAAATCATGGTTGATTCTGGTGTATATGTAAAATAACACATCAAAAGAGACCCAGAAGCAAAGCCTCGCAGCCCTTAAGATTCCCAAAGCCGTTGAAACTATCTACATTCTACCGAGAACCAGCTTGGCAAGCCCAGCCTTAAGACGCAACCCCGGACTCCAGGGCCCCCACCCTGGCGTCCCCCTCCGCCGTCCCAGGCAGCACGACAGGCGTGATTTCGCCTGCGCAAGATCGAAAATCGGTGAGGGAATCGCACCCAAAGTCACCCGGGATGCGGTGACTTAATTCTCTTGGTCAATGTTCAACCCTTCAACCTAGGATTTAACTATTCTAGGTCCTCCAGAATAAGGGCACCAACTTTCTTCTGTAGTCTTTTTTGGTAGGGGAACCCTCCCATTACTGGGGGATCTAAGTATTACCACCAGTTTAGTCAAGGGCAAAGATGTAAGATGCTACCAAACTTTGACCCAGTTCTGACTCCGTTTTCGAGCTATTCAGTGTCCACCAGGGTTGGGCGATTCACTGTTTAAACAACCTCCTTGTGTTTCTCTGGAAAGGGCTGGAGGGCGTGTTGGTTTACCTACCAGTTTGGTCCACCCCTACCAGACGCTGGTAAAACGGAACTGCTTCTGGGCTTGACCAGTTTTGGAGGGGAACCTGCCAAACAACAGGGACAAAGGGTGCCTCTGAGCAACTTCCTAAGTGAACTGGCCAGCCCAAAGCAGTCCGAACATTTCTACTGAAATGAACTTCCAAAAAGGAAGCCTAGAAACGTGGACCATGCATGCCGGATTGCCCACAGCCAGCCGAGTAATTCACCAAATACTAAGTCAAGCAAAGGAAGCCTTTTGTTCACCACGAACATGGTTTCCACAAAAAACGTACGGCCGTATGAAGTCCAGGAACTTGGGAAGTGAGAGTCCACTGAACATGACATCCCCCCCCCGGCCCGCAAATATCGCAAAAATGCAACAGACTTACTTCAACCCACCCAGTTTCCTCCACTCGGATCCGGAAAAGTCGTCTCTTATTGGCAGGGCTCTGGAGCTCGCCGCACCACGCCAGCTCTATGTTCGACGCCCAAGGCTTAGGTGTCGAGATGTTTGGTACCTGAAGGCAATACCCTCCCCCCGCTTTGGCATCGAAGCTGAGGTGGTCTGGACCATGCGGGCCAGTCGGGGGCTTGGGCCTGGGGTCTGCGGCCATTCTACGGTAGGTGGTTGAAACCTTTGTCCACTGTTTGGGCCAGAAACCGCTAAAAATAAATTATCAAAATAGGGCAGGTGGTTGAAAGAAGAAACTGAAAAATAGGGCTGCGCACACAACTCCGCCAGCTGTCCAGAGCACCGCAATACCGTGTGTTGAAGCTTAGGTCTGCCTCTTTTCCGGTGGTTTCCCATGGAACAAACTGACTTCCCAGGTGGTTGGAGCTGGTTGATTCGGAACGTAACCCCTCCCGGCCAAGACAAGCCGACACAAGGGGGGCGGAGACCAACACTAGCAAAGCTGAAAGGTCAAAGGCAGATTTGACTCATGGCCTCATGGCGGTGTTCCAAGCCATCTCCAATTGTTTCGGCGCTACACGTAGGACCAAGAGAGCAACATGTTACATGTTCACCAGCAATGTCCACGGGACGCCTGAGGCTAGGCTGCCAAAGCAGTTAACAACCTGCCGTGTGTGGACAGCTTTCAAGCGCCAATTCGATCATGTCGGAGCAAGCCCAGGAACATGTACTCCGCCCGAAAGTGGGACGCGTCGCATTCGGATATGTCCGCCTCATACCAAGCTGCGTTGTCTTGCTTCCAAACACAGCGAAGACATGGTCGGAATGTCTTCTGGGCGCATGCCGGGCATGCTTGCCATCACCACTTTGACCAGCCGCGTTTTCTGGCAATCCCTTTGCCTCAGGGAATTACACCCCTTGGGCAGTCCCCTTGGCAAAGCGAGGACTTGTTTCCACACCAACCGACTGAGGCCTTGAGGCCTTGGATCCATTCGCAACTTCCGTGGCCTTGGGATTCCATAGGGTGTCTGCTCTTTCCTCATGGCTGGGCAAGCAAGCTTAGCTGTTGGGGACCATTTCAGGCTTGGGCAAGTAGACCAAACATAAACCAACGGGACATGCTGGGTTCCCTTGCAATATGTACCTGATAGATCCTCCGAGACTGAACCACGTCTCAAACACAGACTATAACTCTGTGCCGCGACTAGATTTGGAGTCTAAAACTTGAGACTCTATTTTTGGAGACTAAACTTAGCGCCGTTGTTTGCATTATTTTAGCCTGGCGTTCACTTGCAACCGCGGATTCTTGCTCGTTGACTTTCATTACCGGGCGCTGCTTGGTGGGACCCTGGGAGGCCCAAAAAAAAAATCGCTGACCAGGCGCTCAGCCCTTGACTTCTAAGGGGTTCCTACGGGAAGCAGCTCTAAAACACCTCTCTGGGAATTTCCAGTTTTGCACAGCCCAGCCATCCAGAGGGTGTTTCCCATAAAAAAGATCATCTTCACTAGGCACTGTCTGCCAATTTTAACGTTTGGGCGGGCGAACAAATTCCAGACCAGGCCGAAGCCTTTCGCTTAAGAGTTCAAATCTGAGATTCCATACTAAACCAATCTTAAACCAGGTCCAAGCAGTGCTAAGCAATACCAAACTAAAACAAAACAAAACCAACACTTCACTAATACTAAACTAGCTTTATCAAATTCCACGCCAAACGATTTCAGTTCAATTGCACGCCTTTCGCAAAAAGCAACGTTAAACACACAACAAACTCAAGGGGCTAAACTGATGCAAACGGGGCTGAGACTAAACTTTGGTGCCAGAATAAATTAGTCTCGAGACTATTTTGAGACCGAGGATAGGGTAGTGCACCAATGCTATCTTGGTGGAAGGTTGCGGGCTGTGTCGGTGTGTGTCCTGCGCATTTTTGGGATCCCTCGCTGGGGTTGAGGAGGAGCAAACAGTTCCCGAAGAGGTACTTTGAAAGGAACAACACTAAGAGGGGTTAAAGGCAAATGAGCTGGAAAAAAAAACCGAATTAAAACTCTTATCCCAGGATGTTTTCATTGCAAATCCAAGCGGCGGTCTTCATAAGAGTGAGGTCCCCCAAAAACATGCCCCTTAAGTGTATGAGGTCTCAGGTGTGTACACCGCTGCAAATTGTTGCTGGCTGCTGCTGCTGGCTGCTGCTGCTGCTGCTGGCTGCTGCTGCTGCGGCTGCTGCTGCTGGCTGCTGCTGCTGCTGCTGCTGCTGGCTGCTGCTGCAACTCATTGCTGGGATCTGCAGAAACAAAGAAAATGCAAACTACACAAATGGGCCACTCCTGATCCAAGGCATCTACGACTTGCGCGCGACTTGCGCGCGACTTGCGCGCGACTTGCGCGAAAATTTAGCAATCTTCCGGATTCTTTCGACCATGCGGATGATGATGATGATGATGATGAATCATCACTGCGTCACTTCCGCTTCACTTGCGCTTTACTTGCGCGGCCCCATGTTTGACTTGCGCGGCCGCTCCTGCAACACACTCCTGCCATTCAAATTACAAGCGGCGGTGCAGCTAATTTGATAGGTCCAAAAGACCTGGGATCATGCCTGACATTGACACGTACAACGGGTTGTTTTTTTCCGACTCAAATGACATTCAGCGACGGGGTTTCTCGCACTATGTGCTTGTGCGTTGCCAGTTTTTCAACGAAACCCCACCTAGGGGGGTTAGAGTGCTAGCCATGGATGTCCTGGATATGGCAATCCTTCGGGTGTTCGGAAGTGGTTGTCGATGGTACCCTTGTTGGGTTGAGGGAAAGGCCCACTTCTGGGGCCAGTTGAAATCTCAAACGCAGGCATTGATTCTGGGCATCTAGCATCAGGAGCACTTGAACAGGGGCCAATAGGATTTAGGCACTGCAGTACCCCTATTCCACATACCCGTTTTTTAGCGTACATTCTGAACAACTCTCATGGTAAGCACATTCATTTTTAGTCGGAGGTTGACATCATACCCTAAAACAGGGAGCAGGGAGTTAGTTACTAGAGATGTTCATTTTGACTTGAAAAGGTGCCTGAAAAGGCTGAGTTGCAACCCCCATTTTGGGGCTCAAAACATGGATGTGGAAATAAACTTTCAGTGTGTGGTACCAAAGTAGATCACACCTATGACTACATTGCCGCTTTAAAGACATGTCCGTCAGAAGGTGGCAGCCCTGAAATCAACCTGGACCCTGAAAAGATGGATAGTTTCATTCCGATATTTTTTGCTGTTGGTAGGGTCCAGGCACTTGGCGTTTGGTTGAGTTTAACCTCAGTTGCCCACATTTTGACCTTTTGGTTTTCCCATTTTGGCCCATATAGCGTCATGGCCGTAAAAGGTTAACCTTTTAGTTGCAGGTCCTTTGGAAAACCAACAGGCGAAAACCAAAACCAAAAGGTCAAAAAGGTCAAAATGGGAAAACCAAACTGAGTAAAGGGGTTTCCCTCCAAATCACCCAAACAAAGGGAAGCAATCCGCTCTGGTTTCAAGCCTTCGCGCTCACCGCCCGGCTCGGAGCGGCTGGGAACGCTGGACCTGGAAATGGCCATGAGAATCCGAATCGGTGCTTCTCAAACTTGGGGTCCCTGAGCATGTTATCATAGTTCGGGGTCCCTGAACATGTTGCTTTTTTTGGTGTTTGCTTTTTTTTGTTCTCAAAGGAGTCCCTTCAAATGGGAGTTGTTTACTTGCCTCACTGATTCCCGTTTGATTGCCAAGAAAAGGTCGGGGCGAAGCCGACTGGGTGCAGATCCTCACGAGCGGCGCCTGCTTCACCCGAGACTTTTCTGTTCAATGGTTATGAAGGAAGATACAAGCCTTACTAGAATCGCCATGCTGCAACCCAACAGAATGTAATTAGTTGCTGATGTGAACTGGCCGGAAATTGTAGAAGGTTCACTCGAATGTGCAAAAAAAAACCTAAACGTCGAAGTTAAACTTGTTCTGTTGGATTAATTCAGGACGGCATACACGTGAGTGCTTTGCAACCTACGTTCTGACCCGCCTGAAGGAGACGGATACCAGGTGTAGGTCTGTTGTAGCCAGCCGGGTTCCCAAAAGTGTGGACCTCCTGTTGCTGAGGACATTCAGTTGAATTAAAGCAGAAAGGTCCGGAGGCTACCAAACGTTTCCATTTTGGCAAGGTTGCGATCAGCACATCGTTGTGGAACACCTTGCCCTTTCCACAATGCCCACTTGAGTCATCTTTGTGATTGCTTGCCACTTGCACGAGGCTTGCCGCGGCATTGAAGCTAGCAGTTTCCCTGCCCGGGTAATAAGTTCAAGGCCTTACAGGCTTGCGAAAGCATGCGAGTACCTGAGTAACATGATACACCACCGAATCATCTAACATCTCCTTGCCCTCCATTCCTAGGTTCAACAACTTGTCAGGCACAGGCAAATGATTAGACATAACTAAAATCGGCGTAGAACACACAGAAACAAACAAGGTCAAAGCGTTGATCTGCTTTGGACAACTGAGCCAAAATCCGAACCCGGTACTAAGCCTACTCCAAACAATGATGAAAATAATTAGATTGAAAATGCGGCCGCGCCAATTTCTGGTTGGGACTGTGCCTTCCTAACCTTGAGCTATACCCTGGGTTTTTGATGGCTCAATTGAATATTCGCCAACCGTTTTGTGTTGGGTTCCACGAAAACCTTCGCTAGTGACGTGGCAACCCATCGAAACGTGCGTCATGATTAGTAGGGACATCTCAATCATGGGCTACTGAGCACCCTGATGGCTCAGGGTTGACGACTGAGGTCTTGAATGATCGCTGGAAGCCAACTATCCTTCTGGCATCCCCGGCTCCCGCTTGCCGCTCCAGGGCGCACCTTGGACGGGGCGGTGTCACTGGACCGATTGGCTTCGTTTCGGAGCACGGGTTTCCCGTTGCGCCAAGGAAGAAAAACGCACGCCCGAGTGGATTGTCGAGTTACAATTCCGAACTTTTTGTATGCCATGGGCCATAGTCTTACCAAAGGCTTCAAGTCCATGAATTCAGGTGAGAGAAAACGGCGTTCTGAAGAGGACCCACACCCTCCCGACGAGAACTTAACCCAATATAGTTTAACCCCTGGTTAGCTAGGGCGTCGCAGTCAAGAGGGGATCCTTCACTTTTGAGAAGCATTCCCCTGACAGTCCACCTCAGCACCAAGCTAACCAGCGTTTAGTTGCTTGCTATGTCTTCTCCCTGCTCAAGATACCATAAAATGGCTTTTCGGGGCACAATGGGCGTGGAAGGGGTCAACAAAACACAGCGGGGCTGCCAAATGGTTCGTGAGTCATAAACTCGTTTGGCTTCAGTGGCCAATTGAAACCTGCCTAAACCAGGAGCCTTTTGTGATCCTGGTGTCATTGTGTGCCGACCCGAAAATATGCCTGGGATGCAAAAAAAAAGTGTGGACCCCCCCAGGGTTCACCCCAAAAGAACTTCACCTTCCACGAGTTCAAGTGTCCCTTGACCCGCCAACACGGAGCTCAACCCCCTCTCATTTTGCGGGTAACGGGATCGGCCGAGAGCCGGGCGGAAGAAAGTGAAGGGCATACTCGAGGAGGCAGTCTGGCCAATGGACCGCCAGGCTTCTTCTAGAGTCTGGAGTTGCTTCTCCAGACATATCCCCCTCGAACATGAGCAGCTTTAAAGGTCTGGGGCTAAGAAACCATGGGGGCTAAGTAGGACACCACAACAAGGGAAAACACTACTTCCAGTTGCTTAAGCTTCCCGGGAAAACAGAGAAAATCGTTCCAGTAATGAATTCGATGCCCTTTGAAGCCAAAAGGAGAACATATAAAGAATCTCAAGCAAATGGAAGACTACCCATCTGAACCTTGAACCCAGTCCAAGGACAAACCCCACAACTACCCTTGGCACGTTTCTCCAAGGCCGCCACCTATCCCTTTCAAGCCCTAAGCACCCAAACTGGAGGTACTTCTGCTGTGTTGTTCCCTTTAGAAAAAAAAAGAGACAAACAACAAAAACAAAAAAGCATGCTTTTTCCTGGGCGCGTCCTTTTGGGGCGGAAGGGCCGGGTTTCGCGCCAGGGACCTTTCTTGGTTGCGGTCGGTGTATTCACCAACGAATCCGATGGCAGGCCCATCTGTTTGCCGGGCTGTCCCTGCAATAAGCCGACTCACCATGCAAAATCCCCTCTCTCAGAAACAGTCCAAAGTCCCTGCTGACTAAACAAATATATCTGTCAAACTAGGGGGAATCCCAGCATGGCAATGTTTCCCTCTGGCCTTCCTTTAGGCCAAACAAGGAAAAGGGCGCAACCTCCAAAAACAGAAAAAAGAAAGAAACGTGTACACACACAAAAAAAAAGAAAGAAAGACACACACACACACAAACAAAAATCTGCCAAGTTGTCCGTTGGCAGCCGCCGGCATAGTCTGAGCCCCGCCTTTGTGCTGGCATCCTCTGAGGGGCTGCACACGCCGCTGCCTTGAGCCTTGCAATCCGATCCGCTTAGTCTCTTCTGTTTGGTTTGTTCGTCCCCTGTAAACATATAATCATACGTATATATATATATAATCTATCTATACATATATATACACACACTTCCTGTAGTGATACATTCCATTGAAAACCAACCCGGGAAAATAAAGGATGTCAAGCACATGGAAGAAATCGGTTTCCACCCCCTCCCTTGTCTGTTCACGCCAAAGTTGCGTTGTGCGGTGTCCCTGTAAATATGAACCAAACAGAAACGACGTGGTGTCCCTTTACTGACTTTCTACATTGAGAAAGCACCAATGCCGGAGGTCTAAGCCGTACGGACAAAGAGTCCAAGGGGTGACGAGCCAAGGTTGCTCCCCCCAAGAAACTGATCCCCAAACTGGCTGAGTGGACCGGCTAAAATGTGAGTGTTGCTTGTCGGCCACCAATATGGCCTTCCAAAAAAGTATCAAGTTCAGGATATGAAAAAGTCATAAGTCTTGGATGAGCAGATTGTGAACGGTGGCCCCTTTGCCACAAGTCTTTTTAGGCCTTTAGCTGGTAGGATGGCAGATGGAGGGAAGGGTGTGAAAATAAACATCCCGCAATTGCGTTTTAGGCATTACAATGAGACAAGGGAGTTAACGCAAAAAGTCTCTCTTCATCTCATTTGCACCTCATGGGCCGACGGTCTATATATCCCTCAGCATTCCTTCGCACCGTGTCATGTCCTGAAGATTAGATAGTTTGTGGTAGACATTAGATGGTTTTAAGGAAATGGTCAGCATGATAATCCTGGAGCTCGTTGGGAATCTGGAAGCCTGACCACCTGACAACCATTGACAAGGGCATCTTTTTTTTGGTTGGTTGAGTTTAAAGGGAACCCTTCCCAAAGAAATGGAAAAAGGGCACCGCTGGGCGACTGGGATTGACAACCATTGACAACCAGAGCAAATTCGCAGGCAACACATCTTGTCAACCAGGAAGTCTAAGAATGACAGCTCTGACTGGCCAAAACAAACAATGCAAAAGGTTGACAAAACAAACGGCAGACGTTAAAACGAGGAACTAAATTGCTCGATGAATGACTTGACTTGAGCAGGTGCTGTTCATGACAGAGATGGTCGGATAGGCCGGAAGCAAACAGACAGGCTCTGTCACGCCGCTCACCCTTGAGCAACAAGATTTTGATGCAACAACTCGTTCAGGAGGCGCCACAACTACTCAGGTATTTGGCTAGTAACTCTGGCTATAACCCATCCACGCTGTTTGCTCTAAGTTCTATAGGTGGGTTAAAACCAGTTACTGGCCACTCACCAAGTAAGTGTGTCTCAATGAATGTGATTATCTGCATTCTTTAAACCAGCCCAAGACTCAGACACACACACACACACACACAAACACAAACACAAACACAAACACAAACACAAACACACACACACAGACACAGACACAGACACAGGCACAGGCACAGACACAGACACACACACACACACACACACAAACAAACACAAACACACAAACACACAAACACACAAACACACAAACACACAAACACACACACACACACACACATAAGTATACTGGTTCCCTGGATCAAACGATGTTAAAACCTTCGTTCCGCACATCCAAGCTCCTGCCTCGCTCATTGGCGAAGCAGCCAAGCCGTCTGTCGCCGGCGAGTCCTTAATCAAATTGGCGCATCGAAATGCCGCTATTTTTGCTTGAACAGCCCGGTTAAGGGAGGCGGCTCGGGTCCTCAGTCTTAATTCTGTCCGCCAAGGAAATGAAACCCACACAGCTCCAGGGGTGTCTCCTCTTCAAACTCCATTGAACGTCACATCGGAAAACCAGCCCACACACAAACACGAATGATAAGTAAAAGGATTGGCTGTTCCTGGCCATGATTCTTGGGTAATATGCCTACAAATGGTCCGTGGACATAAATGTCCTTTCAGATTGAAAGAGGGCAAGGAGAAAACGGCTGGTTTACTCCCCCTCCGTTGGAGGCAAGAGATCTCTGGAAGGGCCAAAGGACCTCAACCCAGAAATGGCCCTGCTGTGAGGTCTGCGAGTCTTAGGGTGGTTCACACGGAACGCACACAGCTCGTGTCAGTCAGCTCCGGCCTTTTTTCGCCGCGTCTGGCAACGGGCGCCCAGTCCAAAGAGGATGGCATCGGCCCAGCAAAATGTCAAGCTAAAGTCCGGGAATGAACTCCCGTCCAGGGTGGTTCTAAAGATCGATCTCCCGTGCAGTCTCCAATCAGCAGTCTGAGAAACCACCTGTGACATCCATGTTGTTTGGCCATTTTCTAAAAGATAGCATCATGATTCTGTTGAGAACCATCCAACATCCATGTGTTTGGGCATCTATTGAACATAAGCATCTTGTTCACCCATGCTTCTGTTGAGGAACCATCCAAAATAGATGTTCGTGGCCATTCTTTGAAAAGAAGGATCCCTTGAAAGAATCACCATATCTGGAGTTGTCCCATTCTTCCGTTCAAACTCCTGAAGATCCACGACTCATCAGAGGCGCCTTGTTTGGTCCGTAGCGTACCCACTTTTATTGGCGTTCTCTGCCCCCGCCTCATTGGCGCTCTACAGGACATTCCCTGGTTTGCCCGGAATGGTACTAAGTCCTAAGAATGAATCCCTAAGAATCCCTAAGAATCTTTAATTGAATTGTTTTGTAGGACATTCCCTGGTTTGACGCGCAAGTCTTAAGTATATAAACAGATTCCTGAATCCCCAAGAATCTTCTGCGCGAACCTCAGGTCCTTCGGCCCTTCCAATGGAGATCCAGCCTCCTCCCACAATGCAGGGTCCATTCTGATGCTTCGAGTGGGATTGACGGGTCTTCCATAAACAATTCTGGTACAACTGGCATATAATGCAAGCACCTCTATCCATGTTACATTCATGAAAGACTATGTGAACTCAACAGCGGTTTCCGGTAGTTTACAACAAATATAACGAGCATGTCGCATACTCATCATATCTCCTCTAGGTCCTCCTACGTAGAGAGCTTCGAATAAGCTGGTACCCGCTTTTTTTTTCGGGTTTGGTCTGTTTTAGGGTCGGAACCCTCCCAACCCAAAAGGGCGCCAACAGGGCGCCCGCGCTCTCGAAAAGCCGCACGGGAACCGCCCGCCCCCCGGTCTCCGAGGTCGGCGCCCCCGCATGCGGCGCGGTGCGCTGCGTGCGGCTCCTGATCCGGGGGGGGGGGGGGGACGAGGCGTCAAAACGTGGAAAACCGGTCTGGCGTCCCTGTTTTCAGAGCGCACTTGACAATGGAACCCGAAAAACCCGAGAATCCGAAAACGCGAGAACCCGAGAATCCGAGAATCCGCCTTTTTTTTGGGTAAATAGCTAGCCTTGATGGATGGCACTGGAACCACCAGTTTTTGTTGTTCTCCCCCGTAACTGGGCTGCCCGTTTTCAGATCCGCGAAAAGTGACTAACTTTTCGTGGGATAGATGGAAGCTACCACCAAGCACTAGGCGAAAAAGCTAAGGAACAGGATGGCAGAACCTGGAAGGTAAATAGATGGCCCTGGTAGATGGCAATGGAACAGGTTTTTTCCAGGTTTTTTCAGCAGCAAAAAGGAGACCTATGATTGGAACCGGTCTGGATCGGCATTGGAAGGGATCGCTTAGCCCTGGCCATTCAGGTCCCACGCTGCTTCAGGTTGACCCCGGAGTCATGAACCCTTCCCCTCCGAGAGTGATAGTTCCTCACGAAACCCAGGGACACCCCCTATAACTAATAAACTGGGGTGGATTAATCCGTGGTCAACATTAGGCAGCCCTTTGCAGAGGGTGCCTCGCACCTTTCACACAATCATTCCCGATCCTTCATTTCCCTGTATCAGCTTCCCTCTAATTGGTGGCTTGGATTGGTGGTTTGGTGCTTAGGGAGTGGTTTCCCATCTACCCTCTACAAGAAGCAGTTCAAATCCAAATCCAAACCACCAATTAAGGGTAACCTGACCGTAGGTAACCAAGAGAACCACCCTTCAAAAATGAAAACGACCATGTTTGGTCACCTGCTGTTGTGGTAGATGGGATCCGCTGCGCTTCGGTTGGAAAGGCAACTGACAAATGGCACACCCTCCCAAATTGAGGCACTAAAACATGCCAGGTCGGGCAGTCTATAATGCTATTGAGCCCAACATGAAACCTGAAGGCCCATTGAAAGCATCCCACTTCCGCCCTTCAGTTTTCGCCGCGAGTTTCGGGCCCATCGCATTTTCTTTGGCAGGCTTCTCAAAACACAAGGTCTACCCTTCGAGAAGAAGGTTCCTTCACGGAACCTGTTTGAAAGCGGGGTCTTTTGGTGCCCTTCCTGATCACCATTGTAGTGAACCAAGAGGGTGGATCTAGGAAGTCAGACCATTTAGGGTTCAACCAACTGGTTTTGAAGAGCTGGCCAAATGGAGCCAGCGCCTCGTTCCATGTGTCCAAAGCTGGTGCAATGATGGAATGAAATGCTGACACTACAGCTCAAGCCCTCCATAGCGCCTTCACGCCAAAGACCAAGTTGGCTTTAGCCACCGGGGCTCTGAGCGTTTGTCCCGCTGTACTGACTTTCATGTAGAATGTCATACAAGGAAGGCATGTCTGTACGCCTTGCCCAAGCAGAATGTGGATGAAAAGTTCATCCCCAAGAACTATGCACCTGGAAGATCAAGCGGATGTCGACAGGGCATTTTCCTGAACACTCTGAACAATATTCGCGGACTAAAGAAAGCACGGACCACGCACAAACAACTGATTCAGGCACCAGCCACGTTTCTCTTTTTAGGGTGCCCCAACCGCCCCGAAAGCGTTTGAGAGTCACAGCCATGCTTTACCAGTAGGAAGCCATGGCCCTCAAATTCCACCAACCCTAAGATTGCTGGGGTGTCAAACGGAATTTCGAGAGCCATGGACCGGGCCGAATCGGCCGATGTTCGCGCTCGGACACCGGCCTGTTATCCTTGCTGGTTGCTCGTCGCAAGAAGGCGGGAAGGATACTCGCATCCTGCAAGCGACCAATGGGTCTTATCAACTCCACGGCTCTCTCGAACGATGCGATCAGCGCGCACACTGTTCTGATTTGACACGTGCAAACTGCAAATGACCAAATAAATGATGTCCAACATTGTCTGTTGTTTTCGAAACAAAAAAAGGCGGGACTGGGTCCCCACAACTGGGCAGCTGTTTGTTAGTTTGTGTTTCAAACAAATCAAAAGTTACCCTCTACCAAATGGATCCCCTAGCCTGACTAAAAAAATCGGTCTGCTGAGAAATCAAGAGAGCTCACCAGGTCAGAGCCAAAAGTGTGGAAAACCAGCCAAAATCGGAGGTCTTAGTGCCCCTCTAGACTCCCTTTTGGCGCCCCTTTGTTCCCTTAACTCCCATTCCCCTGCGGGCGGGGGGGGGGGGGGGAACTAGTTCCGGTAGTGATAGAATCACTTTGAGACCAACAACGGAAAATAACAACACATTCAAATGAAAGTCCAACAACTTCCATTTGCTTAAGTCCCCTGAACAACTCAATTCATTCCAGTAGTGAAATCAATTCCCTTTGAAACCAACAGGGCAACATGACTCACATATGCCTTTCAGTAAATGAAAGCCAACCATCCGGCAAGAGAAAAAGCCGCTGGAGCACTTTGACCCAAACGTGCTGGCTGCAAGTGTCTGGTGGCCTGAGTCGTTGATCCGGCTTAAGACTGAGCCCAAAATCGTCGAAGCAAATCCAGGCGCTTCGGCCCATGCACGACACAACACATGTTCGGTCTCTGTTGTTGTTTTTTTGTTTTATTATTATTATATAAACAAAAGCTTCAATGTGAAGAAGGATCTACATGGTGAGGGTCCATGTGAAAGGAAAATGGTCTTCCAGGACCCCTGAGCCATGGGCTAGAACTCCCTCTGCTGATGCAATCAAACGGAGCAAGCGACCCAGGGTCAATCTTCTGGTCTTATCCCCACCTGAGACAGCCTTGAGCCTACAACTTCCCAATACCTTTGTGCTAAGGGAAGGGATACCCAAAAGAGCCAAGGGCAAATCACATCGACTGTCCGGCAATTGAGTGCAACGCCCGGAGGGATTCCGTCGAACCCAGTCCTTGTCCTTGGGACGGCCTGCCGTGATCAAGAGACTAAAGTGGCCCAATAGAAATGCCCATAGGCGTGTGTATCCCTTTTCTTCTGATACAACCCAGGATTTTCTCGATAATGCCAGATGTCGGGAGAAGAAACAAGGGCTGGTTGCAACATTTTTTGGGGAGAATTTTGGAAGGGACCTTGGCATGATCGAAACCGGGAGCCGCCATATGCATCTCAAACAAAAACGGGGCCTAGAGGGTTGGGAAGGCTCTGTTTGGCTTGCGATGAAAGGGAAACTGTTTGTTTGGGTTGGGTCCCAATATGTTGAACCACCTCCATAGGGAAGCACTCCCAAGTAGCTGACCTCCAAACAAATTGTGGTTGTCTTGGTGCTTCACTTCAAGGCTTTGCCATAGATTCCATCGCAAGGGTCAAAAGTTGGCTTCTGCGAGCGGGAAAGCAACTGCTGGTCCCGCAAAGAAATGTAGGTCCCCCCCTCCCATCGGCTTCTGCGGGGTGTTCGAAGTCTCTTGATGTAACTGAACTTGCCGGGGCTGTGGCACAAGCTGAGCCTAGCTTCTGTCATCTTCATTGCGGGCAAGGGGGGCTGAGGTTGCCGCTGGTCCCCAAGTCACCAAGCCAGGGGGACTCAGCTGTAGGAAGACAACCGACCAAGAACGAAACGCACAATTCATCTGTAGGGACAAGGGCCGGCCCTTGAGATCTGGGTACTCCAACAAGAAGACTTTCAGTTCTCGTTTCACATGTCTACCCCGCAATAAATCGTTTTGGAGGAGACCCCCAGCTCTCACAGCCCGAGTCGAATGGGACGGGCACACTGATTCTGTTGTATTCCCCTCGAAAGCCACATGGGACTCCGGAAAGAGGTCCCGCAAAGGGAGTTTGTTGCTAGAAACCGGGTTCTTGGTGCGTTCCATGCCAGTCTGCAAAAATGTGTGTGTCAGTCTTCAGTCTTCAGGGTCAAACCGTCTGCACCCCAAACTGTGGCAACTTCCCAGGTGAGCCGATCCAAAAAGCCTTCCAAATGTAGATTGCAGGGACCTGGAACCAAAATAACTTGAAGATGTCTGGGACCACGAAAAGCGAGTTTGGCCTTTCAGGCCACTCTTTCAGACGGGTCTTGCAGGGCTCATTCAAGAGGCCTAGAATGACATCCCCCCAACAAGAAAACCCAGAAACACATCGGCAGCAGCTGGTGATGTGCAAGGCACCCAACAAGACAACAAGGACCCTTCGAAAACAGTCATCCCAAACCCAGATGTGGAACAAAAACAACAGGGCAGCCACTGGTCAGAAAACCACCAGACCTTCCGTTCGCCATTAAAAGGATCTTCCCCAAAAGTGTCAAGTCCTCTAACTGGCGAAGTGGGTCTGGGCTTTGCTGGAACAATTGAAAAGTCTCTCTAGAAGACCAGAGTTCTCAACGGATCCGACCCTTGACCAACGGAAAGCCTTAAACAGCCGCTTTGTGACTGGGCATTACCCTCACACCAATTACATGTAACATGGAACTTATATTTTTCTTCCCCCTGGGCATTACCCTCACACCAATTACATGTAACATGGAACTTCTATTTTCCTTCCCTTTGTCAGGTTCCGTGTGAATTGGTGGGAGGGAATATAGAGGGCCTTGAAAAGGAAAAGTTCGAAATGTACCCATCCCCTGTTGGATTATTTTTGGGGCAAGTGTCAACCCTATCCTGCCTTCGCGTCTTGCTGGGCCCTGGCGGTCAATCATGTTCACTCACCCGTCTGGTGAGTTGTGAGGCCCCCTACAAATCACGCCCGCTGTTACTCACTTCGGAAACCGACAGCGAATGTACACATGCTTCATACCCAGAAAACCTCCCTTCACATGATGCTTTGTAGTTTCTGGTCATGTTCATGTTTTGGGGGGCTGCGACAACATAATTTGTCTGGCGTACCGCCGGTTGGGAAGGAAGCTTGTCATGTTTGGTTGGGGGGCTGCGACAACTGTTTTTTTGTCTGGCATGTCGAGTTTACATGTCGCCCATGGATCTTGGGAGGGCAACTCAAAGCGGCCCACGGCCAGAATGAATCGGTGAGCACAACGAACACCGCATCAAATTGAAAGCAATCCGGCAGTTTCTTAGTTCCGAGGATCCCGGTAGGTTTGGCCCCACTAAAATTGGTCCTTCGCCAAAAGCATTTCTTTCCACCAGGGTCACTGGGTGCAGCTTGTCAAACAACGCTAAACCATGTACAAACTCAGGGAACCCAAGCCCCAGAACTATTGAGGCGAAACCAATTTTTGCCCAGGGCCTTAATGGCCTTAACCCCCCCGGGTTGTCAGGGTTCCAAAAAGGATGCATCCGAAAACCGCCTGTACAAAGGGATCCTCGAAATCAGCAAAGTGAGGTTCGGCCAAATTACCTGTAATCTACGGTTCCCTTCGGAGGGACATGGGGGGGCTCACGTCTCCCACAAAAAATCAGGTGACTCACGTTTCCCATGATTTTGTCTTGTTTGACTGGCCCCCAGCTATCCTTTTCGGGGCCCTGAGGGGGAGGACACCATGCTTTTCTTGGGTTGGTTGACTTGGCTTCATTGAACACGTTTCTTTGGGACTGAGCCGACCCCCAGAAGCAAACAAGCTACCCAGTTTGTTTGACGAACCTAGTGGAAGACCAAGGCCGCAGGTCTAACTTTAAGTTCCGTCTGGCTATGTTTAGACCCGCTGATTAGAAGCCGTTAAATGGCTGTGGGTCAAAAATGCGTACCCAAAATGGAACCCTGATACATGGAACCAAAGACTAAAACCTGCGGTCCCCTGGTGGGTTTATTTTGACCCATAACACCCACCACGTGCTTGTGGCGGGCGATGCCTCCTCTAAGCCTTCCGCAGAGTTTTCGCGGCGCACGGGGCCTCGATGCCGAGTTTGGACCCGGAAATGAAAGCTGATCACCCTGGGAGCCCTGACTACCTGGGCTGCCCGTTTTCGGATCCGCGAAAAGTGACTAACTTTTAGCGGGTTAAATGGAAACTACCGAGCACTAAAAGGCTAAAAAGCTAAGGAACCGGATGGCTGGGAGCCTTGACTACGCATGGACCGAATCATGAGTGGGCAGGAAGCTTTTGGAACCTTGACTATAGGTACAGGGTGGCCAGACGGTATCGAACACAGGGAATAATGCCTGCGACAGGCTGCGGCATATTTTTAGGCAAAATGCGACAGGTTGATGCCGCGCGCCTGATTTTGCACAAACATGTGTTTCTCCTTCTACACTTCAATTGATGCGGCGTGTTGCGGCCAGCTCCGCGTGTGCGACGCAACATAGTGCAACCTGCATCAGCTTGCATGATTTTGCATTTCCTTTGACACAGTTTGCTTGATGTTGTTAAGCCACCCCATATGGACCGACTCAGAGAAGCACAAGGTCAAAATCTGTTGAAAGTGTCGGCTCGTAGCCCCATGGCATCGCCTGCTGTTTTCTCGAGCGCGGCACGGCGCCCTCGCAGAGTAGGACACGGCCCCAGTGCACCGTCGCCAGACATGTGGAAAAAACCCGCCGCGTTCTGTGATCTACAGTGACAAAGACTAAGGTCCTCCAGTAGAGAGGTAGAATAGGGGTACCAACTTTGTTTATGTTGTCTATTTTAGTAGGGAACCCCTCCCCAACAAAAGTTGGCAAAAGGGCACCTAGCTAGGGGACCTAGAAGACATGCGGCTCGCCAGGGACCCGAGGTGTTCTCGCAGAGTGCAGAAACGGCAGACACGGCCACGTCTGCTCCGAGCCATCGATGGAGTCTCAATGCCGCCGCGTCCAATGGCCGGGTTGTGGACGCGCTCCAAGAGCCGGAGAACCGAGGCAACGTGTACGGCCGTCTCCGCCGCAGAAAAAACATCACTCAATGCAGCCGCATGGCTTGCCATGCTTGTGACCCTCTCATGCTCCAACTGCCATTGGTCAGCAACAAAGTTGTTGGGGGTTGTCGGCACGACTGCCGGCCTTTGTTGTGGGAAATACATCAATCAAGGGAAACCACTCCGTCTGGCTAGATTGAGGATTGATTTTGAACCCAGTTTGATTTGTTGGGTTGCGAACATTGTGGACCATTGTGGGAACCACCGGATACCAAGTGGCCCATCCCTATGACTACATTGCCACGTTAAAGGGGATTCTCTTGGTATCACAGAAAGTGGCCCCCACAACCATATGTTCCAGAAGCATCGACAGAGTTCATGGGTGTGTCTCCAAATGGAAAATATGATGTACCCTGACAAACAAGTCATACCCGATTACGCGGAAGATGATGTGGTCAAACTATGTTTCATATGTCGACCTGAAATATCGGTGCGTCTTGCTCGAGGGTACTCTACTTGCTTGGTGTCAAAGGCAAACCAAAAAGAGCGACCACCCATGTTGGGTCCCAGTTCCCCACTTTTGAAACAAGCCCATATATCCTCAGTTGCCCAAAGGACCAAACTGGGAAAACCAAAAGGTCTAAAGGTCGGCTTCGAACATCCCAGCTCCCCACTGTTGTGTGTAGATATATATATATATATATGTATAGATATATATATATATACATATATATCATGTGTATATATTGCTGTTGTCTTTTCCGAGCAAACCCCAGAGAAGTGTGCGAGTGCAGTTGGCATCTTCTAGGCCACCGGCCCCGCCACGGCAGGTAGCTCCGCCCCCGCTCCTCCTGTCGAGAGAGGCTCCCCAGCGCTTGGATGTCCAACTTATCGGCAAAGTCTCCAGAAGCCAGTGCCAGCGGAATCAAAATAACGCGTCAAACTAGGGGCATCTCCAGAATGAGTGGTTTCCCTTTGGTTTTCTAAAACCGGCCCTAAAAAGGGGTACCCGCAAAAACAGAACACACACACGCACACACACCCGCGCGCGCACGTATATTCAAACAAACACTATGGTCATGACCTTCAGACCCACCGAAACTTGGATGTTCAACCCGCTCTATAACTATAAGTTGCTGTTCAATGCTTTGCGGGAGGGGACGGGATATAGAGCAACCCATGAGTAGGCTGAACATCCACGAGGGGGAGCGGGGTGAATAGAGCCACCACTAGGGGGAGGAGCCCTGCAAGCTTAGAGTTGCTGCAAGCCTTCAGCTTCGGCATCACAACATACCCCAAGTGTCCAGGGGGGAGGGGGTGGTGGACCTTTTGTCGAGTCTTCACAAAAACAATGAACATTGACGTATACATGAAATTTCAGGGTCACACCCCCTCCCCAGTTCCATGTTCAAGGAGGGTGATGATTGCAAAGGTGAGGTGCGGTTGAGGTCCATGTTCCCTTGATCAAGTCCAACCACAAAACGGGGAGCTGAACAATGGTGATCCCCTCCCCAAAAAAAGGGAACAACTTGCTATGAGTATGAGTCAAAAATGGGGGGACCCCAAAATGGCCCACCAGATTTCCGTTTGGCACCTGAAAAAAGCACTCTCCAAACAAAAAAAGCAACGAATGGGTGGGATCTCCGAAGGTCGAAAGCCATCCGCGTTTACTTCCAGGAACCGGCTCCCTAATGGCTTCATGTGTTGCTGTTTGTGTAGGAACTGTCAAACTCATTCAAACAACATGTAAATGTGACCAGCCCAACCAAATGCCAAGTGATGACTTGTTAAAGTGACAGGAAGACCCAAATAGCAATACACATGCCGTTTTCACAGAGCTTCATTCGCCCAGTGCCCACAAGGAGAAAAGAGCACCCTTTGTTGGCTTTTGTTGAGGGGAAACCTGCAGCAAAACAAGGTACCTGAACCCTCAAAATTCCCTTAAAAATGGGTTTGACCCCCAAAATTATGGGGTGATATCCCATTTTTATGGGTAGTTTGAGGGTCCAGGTATTCCAAAAAGGGAACCACTCAGAGACTGGGTCCCGGTATATAATGATTCCATGTCCCCCCAAATCTTCAGCGGCCATAGTCAGAAAGAGCACCGTTTTGTTGGTGGTTGAGTTTCAAGGGAAACCCTTCCACCGAAAAATGAAAACAATAATGCAATTCGTTGGGTGTCTGAGAACCAAACAGCCTTGTCACATGGCCAGATTAAACTGTTCCGTTCAAACACCTTTTTCAGATCCTGCTTCATATTTAGTTAACCCTAAAATACTTTGGGAGACACAGCCTCCACCGCGGTATGTGGGAACTAGACCGCCTTTCAGTACCTAAAGGGGCATTGTTCTTAGTAGGTGGGTAATAACTAGTAATAACCATGGTTGACCCACTTATTGGGTTGTAAGTCTCCATTTTTTTTTATAGCCAGGCTTCCTAACCACTTGCCGGGCGTACCCAGACGGCTTGCCCTTTAAGGCTAGGAACCTTTCCCCGCCACTCCCTCCGCCGTCTCCTGCGCGGTGCCCTCACGGCCTCGCCCCCCCCGGCAAAAGCGTCACCCGTGGAAGGTCCAAATGGAGTGGTTTGCTGAGAGGTTTTTGTACCCCCAATGGGTTTTTGTTTGAAGGGAAAAGCCGCCAGGAATCCATCCAGGCATTTCGGGGGTGGGCCTCTTTGCCGCACACCCAAATGCCGATTTGGAGACAAAGCCAGATGGGCCAAAACGGAGAAACCAAAGAGTCACGATCGAAACCTGGGATTCTACTTGCCCAAGAACCAGGTTGAAGATTGGAGAGCCCGGATTCCCGCGCTTGTTTCTAGCTGGGACTATCCCTAACCTTCTTGGGTTTGATTGCGACTCACCTAGAAACCTAAAGGAAGCAGAGTGCCAGTTGGGTCATGATCTCAGAAAAAAAGGAAAGCAAACAGATGGGTGTGACATTTAGCGGAGAACCCTTTGGGGGACAATGATTTATCTGGAGATTCATATCCACCCACCGCCTTTCAAGCTGGCTTTCTATTGAAAATTATGACTATACTATTCAAACGAATACAATATGGCAGGGATCAGCTGGCCAGCACATAAATGGTTAGCCAAGCCTGATCAGAACCCACTACCAATTTCAGGTCTGGGCCACTATCACTTAAGCACTGCGCCGTCAGAAGGGTTTGCTCCTCCAGATCCAGTCAAGTTGAGAGGAGATACAATTGTCCACGGGGAACGAACAGAACACCCTTGACCTATGTTCATATCATAGCGATAGTCAACTTCCAAGGCGCCCACCCGGTTCGATCCAACCGTCTCTGACCATCTTTTCAGCTCCAAAGAAGCAACTTCTCGCCATGTGAGAAGAAACAAACGATGCACTCGGCCTGCTAACCCTCTGCGGTTCACAATGCGCAAGCGCAAATAGTCCATATGGTCCTATTGAGGTCTGGGCCTTAACGGCGCTGGAACTTGGATAAAACCAGCAGAAATGCCAGGTACTCGCGTGTCATTTCTTCGGGATTTTCAGGAAAGCCGCCTGCCTCGGCGTTCCCCCTCGCTCTCCTGGCATGGCATCTGAAGTCTACGCCGGCTCAGTGAACCTTCCTAAGGCCCTCATCCCTTACCCTTTGCGGAGGGTTTTTGAGGTAAAGTCCTTATACGGTACGGCACAGGGGAGTTGTTGTGGCCGCAAGGGTATGTTGTGGCCGATTGAGGAAGCTTTTTGGGCCTGGGCGACCCTGGGCTTGCGGAACATGGCCCCTTTCTGTGGTTCCAAGAACCCTGCTGATGCCAGACTGTCAATCCATACCTTTTCAGCATACCCAACTCTTCCATAATGAAGATTCCTTGGGTCCAAGTATGTTCAGGTATGTTGGAGGTTTCATGAAGGGGTAATTACCAACTAAACTATCCAACAAGGGCGGCTTATACGTGGAATATGTCCATTTGATTCAGGTGTAAAATGGCATCCATGAGGTTGTCTCTTAAATGGATCTTAGGCTTCCCTTTCGATCAGCCCCAACAATGGTACGCCGCAACGAACAAACACGCCCACTTGTCCAAAGCACACTTGAGCACTTCAAAGAGGATTGCCTTGGTGTGGTACGTACCACTCTAACAAATTGCAAGGAATCCAAGGGGTGGAGACTCCAGACATATATTTGTCGGAGTGGTTTGGGACCGTTGTTAAGGATATAAAGAACACCCCCCCAAAAACAAAAACAAAAACAATCGCAACAACCTGCTGACTAATCAACCAACGAGCCAATCAGCAAAAAAATGCCACAAGTGAACAAACCACAAGGACACACACACAGACACACAAACGAAATGACACACAAGCCAATCAGCCAACCAATTAACAAAGCAACCAAGCAACCAAGCAACCAACCAACCAACCAAACAAGCCAAACAAGGCAAACAAACCAAGCAAACCAAACAGAAAAAACGAAATAATAAACAAGCACACACACAAGCGAACAAACGAACGAGCGAACGAACAAACAAACAAACAAACAACCAAACAAACAACAATAACAAACAACCCAACCGAACCAAACCAAACCAAACCAAACCAAACCAATGCAAACCAACAAAACTAATCAGAACACAAACAATTAATCAATCAATAAACCAACCAATCAATCAATCAATCAATCCAATCCAATCCAATCCAATCCAATCCAATCTATCAATCAATCAAAGCAAATAAAATCAAAACCAATTCAATTTAAAAAAAAAAAAAAAAAAAAAAAAAAAAAAAAAAAAAAAAAAAAAAAAAAAAAAAAAAAAAAAAAAAAAAAAAACAATCCCCTGCGCTTCAGAAGGCCTGTCTAAAGGAGGCCTCTGGAAAGAGGCCTTGATTTGTCAAGAGGCCTTGTTTTGTAAACCCGGAAGTATCCATGGTAAGTACCCACGCCTTTTCAAGGCCTTTGGCCCCTTATTCCTGGCCCAAAAAACATGGTTTTACATTGGCTGCATATGGTGCGTCACCCACGATATCGCTACATGTTGTCCTTTGTGCTCTCAACCTCTGACATCTTTACCTCGCATTGCTTTGCTCCAAGGCAGTTGTTTACACGGACGAACTCCAGTGGAGTTACGATTCCATGCTTTCCTTTGGAGGTGTCGGCACAGTTTCGGCGACCCTGCATTTTTCGTGGAACAAACGCCACACTCTTGCACGAAGGCTGCAAAAGGTTGGGTTCTGGCAGTAGCGTCATGTGGTCCTGCTGGGTTTTTCTGTGCTGTCCTCGCTTTTGGCATTGCGTCCACGCCTTTTTGAGGCCTTTCCACGCCTTTTTGAGGCCTTTCCACGCCTTTTTGAGGCCTTTCCACGGGTTGTCCACGCTTTGTCCACGGTCCAGCTGGTGTTCTGAGTCACTTCGCTGGGCAAAATGCGGCACAGCGTTTTGCTGACACAGGCAACAATTTGCAGATCTTGTTGATAGTTTGGCTCCAATTTCTCAAGCTGATATCTACGAAGGGGGGCTTCAAACTAAAGAGAGTCCCAAACAAGATGGTAGGAAGGCTGCAGCTATGATTCTGCAAAGGAGAGTTTTTGGCTTTGGCTACTCCTCGAGACCCTTCAGCTGAGGCATGCGCAAATGCATGTTACACGCATTCAACAAAACGCCAAATCCGTTCGAGTAAATATATTTGCCAGAAACTGCACAAGGTGGCCACCCCCAACTTTTCAAGGCCTTTGCCCTTCCTTTTCGAGGCCTTTGCCCTTACTTTTTGAGGCCTCTGCACACCCGATTCAAGGCCTCTGGAACAAAACAAGGCCTAGGCCTAACAAAAGGAGGCCTTGGAAGCTTAATCAATCAATCAATCAATCAATCAATCCAATCAAATCAAATCAAATCAAATCAAATCAAATCAAATCAAATCCAATCAATCAATCAATCAATCAATCAATCAATCAATCAATCAATCAATCAAATCAAATCAAATCAAATCAAATCAACTCAATCAAATCAAATAAATCAAATCAAACAAATAAATCAATCAATCAATCAATCAATCAATCATTCAATCGATCCATCCATCCATCCATCCAGCCAACCAATCAAACAATCAAGCAAACAAATAAGCCATCAAGCAAACAATCAATAAATCACTATCAATCAATCAAACAAATAAGCAAATAAGCAAGCAAGCAAGCAAGAAAACAAGCAAGCAAGCAAGCAAGCAAACAATCACAATCAATCACTCAATCAAACAACTAAGCAAGCAAGCCAGCAAGCAAGCAAGCAAGCAAGCAAGCAAGCAAGCAAGCAAGCAAGCAAGCAAGCAAGCAAGCAAGCAAGCAAGCAAGCAAGCAAGCAAGCAAGAAAACAAGCAAGCAAAACAAAGAAACAAATAAACAAACAAACATTCGAACTCGTAATTACAAAACCAACTAAACATTTGAGCAGCCAAATAAACAACCAACCATATGACCAGCCGCCAGCAAGCAAGCAAGCAAGCAAGCAAGCAAGCAAGCAAGCAGGCAGGCAGACAGGCAGGCAGGCAGGTAGGTAGACTGACGGAAAGACGGACAAACAGACAGCCGGACACACAAACAATCAAGCAGACCAAGGCGTCAAAGGCTCAAACCTTGTTGTTGACACCGAAGCTCAGACTCTCCTCGCGGAGCGTCGTCATGGTGCCAGGCGTCTTCGATCGCCTTTCAGGAGGTGGGGTTTCTACGAAAACGCAAAGTGCAAACTTCTGGTCAGATGGTTGCTCACAAATCGCAGACGTTGAGTGGGATGCTTTGAAGCCAAATTGGACTTGAGGGGCCCCTTTGCAAAATCTCCGAATTCCTTATGTTTGTACTTCGGAGCAACTTACCACATGTTGGACAGTTGTTGTTGTTGCAAATTAGAGTGTTATGCATGTATGAAGACAATATCAACAAGTTGTCCATGGTTGTTTCTCCCTAAGGTTTCTTTCAATTCAAGCAAACATGAAAACAGAAGGTTCATTTTTCAGGGGATTCGAATCCTAGGCCACTCACGGAATCAAACTCGGACTATTGGAAGGATGGGACCGGCCGACTCAGAAAGAACGATTCTTGGTGCCAGGCCCCGGTTTCACAGGCTCCCTGAATCCTTTGAACATCGCACCACTGGGTCTTGAAGAGGAAAAACCTTACCTTCCAAAAGGTGATGTTCAAAGTCACCAAGAGGGGAATATAGGGTGCCCAAAAAACCCTTTCCACAACCACTGGCAGGTACAGCAAACAAATTGGGTGCGTCTCATGGACAAAACTCGGTTTCAAGCCACGTCGTGGAACAACGCCCTGCCTCCTGGGTGTTCCTGGCTGCTCCTCCTGCGCTTGAGCCGCCTGAGCTACTGCTCGGTAATTTAGCCTTCCCAGACAGGCGCAGGCCACTATAATAGGTCACTTTCCCCAGTTTCTCCTTTGGATGTTTCAAGGCAGGTTCTTCTGGGTCCTACTTGGGCCTTACTTGGGGGGTTGCAGGCAACTCTTCCCCATTTTCTTCGGGGTGTTTTAAAGGTGGTTGTTTTGGTTGCCTACATAACCAGTGGAATGGAATCACGGGGATGGCCTAGAGGGCCTACCAGGGCCTTTGGGGAGGTTGGTGTCCTCTAAGAGGCTTTTCCGCCCAGCTGCAAGAGTTGGGGTTGCCCAAGTAGGCTCCGAAGTGGTTTGGAGTGCCAGCTAGACCTTTGACAGTAGGGGTGCTCCATTGGTTTCGCCTGGTCAAGGATCTTTTTCCAGGTGTTCGGAATGAAGCCTTTGGGATCCAAACAGAAGGAAGCTGTTCGGGTTGAGAGCTCATGCCCTTCCCGTGAACCAGCAAGTTGAAGCTGAAACCCCTTTGTTGGGGATGTTGGGTCATGCAACAAACATCTCTGTGAGAGGCCCTTCTGGAGAAGTCAATGGGGATCACTTTCTTTGGACTGGAGTTGACATGCTTTCCAATGTGACGGCACTGGAAAAATCCGCTTTTCCCTCCTTTGCGGAATGGAGGTTCTGGCTCTGGCAATGTACTCCGCGGATTAATCAACCTGGATTATCATCAGCTGTGCCCCCAAAAACGCATGCCCTGTCCAAAATGGGACGCCCTATTCGTCAGCCAAGGACTTGTTCATCCGAGACTGACCAACTGGCCATGTATGGTGTTGTATGCCCGAGTAATACTGCCGAAACGGACGGCCGCTACTTGAGGGGATTGGAGCCCAGCCCAACAGAAGGGTTGACTGTCGAAACGGGGCGGCCTTCCACTTGAGGGGGAATTGGAGACCAGCCCCAGCTGACCTAGCCCATTGGAACAGAGTGTCGCTTCACACTCGGCACATCAAGCCCAAAAACCTATCTATTGTGGCTCAGTGGGCCAGTCATGACTACAACCGCACACGTCTTTTTTGCATCCTGGTCAATGTTGCCACCTTTTTGAAAGGGTCATCCCTCCAAAAGTGGTCTGAATCCCGGCGGGGGAACACCCCGCCCAATTCATCCATCAGCCATGGGATTATTGATCCAAAAAAATGCAACCTGCAGTTTCCAGGACCCTTTAAGAATGGGGTCATTACCTAAAATAAAAGGGGTCATGGACCCATTTCTAAAGCGTCATGTAGACTCCAGGAACGTGTAAAACCGGGGCCCACAGGGCGTCCCACTCTCTATTCATCCGGGGTGATGCTCTGACCCAACTCCCGGCCTCTCGCCGGCGCCAGCCGAAGAGACTCCGGCTGCGCCTGGTACGCGCAAAACTAAGCTGCGCGGGGAGACGAGTAGCAAAACAGAGATTTAAACAAAAACAAACAAAAAACGGAAACCCCTCTCACCTCCATTAAACCTTTTCAGTTCAGCGTCTGGTGGTTGTTTCTTGGCAGTGTTTTGGAGAGTTTCGCGGGGGGCCTTTTCATGGGCTTATCTTCGAAGCAAGTCGCCTCTTTCTTGGGAAACATGTTTTTCCTTAAGGTACTTTTTACCTACCAGTACTTGAAACGCGCTGAACAAAACACCCGGTCACTTTCCCGTGAGAGACCTTCGTTTTCACCCAACTCAAATAGGTCGCCAGGAAATTTGCTCCACATGAAGTTCGGACCGAGCCCTACAAAAGGTGACTCACCTTTTTCCGGGAAAGAAGTGCGGCCCCCTTTGTCTTGCGGTTTTAAAGGGAAACAAGAAAGGGCAACAATATGTTCATGAAGAGTGGTGAAGTCGTTCGGAGTTACAGACTGACATCGACATTGTCGCTTTTGCAGGGGCGGGGGAGGGGCCCTCCCTGAGTGTTAAAACCTCTAGGGGAGTTCTTCAAAGACCATTGGACCGCATCATCTCCCTGGCAGGGAAAAGAACAAGACCGGTGATCTTGAAGGGGAACCTGCCAAACGAGTCAAAGGGAATAAAACAATGTGCAGGAGTGTGTCAAGAGTATCCCTGACTGAAAGCAGCTGCTTTTGGGAAGGACGTTTTTAGGGCCAGTCCGATCGCGGCTTGGTAGGGAGATTCCGGGTTTCCCGATACCACAACCTCTTTTTCGGAGACCCCCAAGATGCCGGCTTTTCTTGTGGCTTCCCTTTAAAAACACAAAAGAGAGGTACCCTCAAACCAAAATGAGGGCAACTACCTCCATGCCTTCAGGAAATCCATGCAATACATATCCAAATGAATGGCGTTCCAGCCATGCCTTAGCGAACAAAGTTTAAATGACCCGTGCGGGTGGGGAGTTTCTCGTTGAGTCCACAAACTAGCGCCCATTTCACCCGTTTGGTCCTACCCAAAATATGAAACTCGACACTCCAACCTTACGAAGGGAAGACCGCCTCTATGCGGCTACAACGCATGTTGCTGGGTAGAATTCGGATTTCCATCCCCCCCAATAAAACCAGCGCACCGCCACATCTCGCGGGTCACCTGTCCCTTCCACACCCCAGTCCACACCCCAGGTGTTCCCTTTACGTGGGCAAGGGAAGGCGGATGAGAGAATCTTCGGCTTCGCCCCCCTCAATCAACCACCCCCTGTTCAAGGAGTTGAAGTAATGTTGACCCCCAAACACCTGAACCTGAATTTCCCAACAGGGGGATGTACCTGGGTGTGGGAATCACTGGAGCTCCCTGCCCTAACCGGACGGGTTCTACGTCGGTCAATCCATCAGGTTCTTAGGTGCCCGGCGCCCGAAAAGTCCCCCGCCTCGGGACCGGCGTCAGGAGCTCCGGCACGAAGTCCTCGCTCTCCTGCCTCGGAAGCACCAAGTGGACCCTGAAATTTTAGATTTACGGGTCCAGTTGGACCCCACCTCTCAAAATGCACCAGCTGGACATTTAAGTTGGACGAAAAATATGATCCCTTTTTTCGCATGTTTAGTCTACCCGGCGAGCAACACCAAGCCTCACTCATCATGATTCATCTCCAGAATCCAAGTAACATGCAAAACAAAATCCCGCACCTGAGGGGTTTTCCCACCCTTCAGGAGGGCTAGACATTGAAAGGGGTGAGGATACAGATTGGCAGCACCATGTGGGCTTGAAATAGGAATCCACCCCCGAGTGGGCGATTGCCTGTTAAAAAGAAGCCCCCCTCCACGAACCTGGGCTACTAAAAGATCTGAGGCGCAGCCTCTGTTCCTTCAAGGGAGGGTCCAGTGTGATGCTGAGGGCATTCTCACATCGACAAACCCTGCAAAAACATGACACCTGAAATGAGAGTTGGATACTCCAATAAAGGACCCACACCCACATGGGCTTTCCTCATTCTACCCAAGTGGAATCGCTCTTGCCATTTGTACTCCCAGATTGACATAAAACCCAAAAAACAATCCTTATAGGAATCTCCTTCTTGTCCTAGCTCTGGCAACTTTTAGCGAATGCCCCCGGCTCCAGGACTGAAGAGTTGATTTGCAGAAGGAATGATGTAAATGTAAGGGCCCAAATACTTAGAATGAAGTTGTGGGGTCCTTTACAGTAACATTTCGAAATGGTGGGGGGAAACCAGTAGCGAGTATAACTTCCCCTTATGACACCCCTACCATTCCCTGATGGTAGGGAATCACCCCTATAACCAAGTCCCGGTTTGGTTTTCCTTTGTTCGGAAATCTCCAAAACCGGTTCATTCCAACACGCGGAATGCAGTCTAAAAAAGGGACCCGACTTAAAGGACACTCCTTCAAACAAGCAATAAATTGTGTTCAGCAAATGGGGGTTGATTGAAAGGTCCTTTACATGGGATGACCATTGAGGATTGAAGAAATCCACAGGACAAATTATATATGTCCCTATGTCCCGTTGGGAAAGTTACCCATGGTCAACACTGAGCGCCAGGTAAATTGAATAATTGATCAACCCCTGGAAGTTTCAAACCAGCAAAACCGGAAGTGTAGGGACCTGGTTGTCCTCCCCCCCTGGACCCGCAGCTTTCCGATGTCTGGGCTGGCCGGGCACGCCCTCCTCGCAGGAGCCGCTCTCCTCACCCCTTCGGGCGGCCACCTTAAGAAGAGACCAGATCTCGGAGAGTCTCCATGATGATGCTACTTCCATTGGGTTCTGATTGGGTTGTCAAACCCGGTTATATATATATATACTTTTATATATAGTTATCTACTATAATTCTTCAAACAACTGCAACAAAACAATACACAGTTGCTTACTTCCCTACAACCACACCTAAAACCAACCAGGATGATTTTTAGTGGGGGTGGCTTCATGTTAATCTGTAGTGGAGTATCCGGCTGTTTCGAGGACACCTCCCGGTCTACTTCCCGACAGATGTCATCCACAGCACTTGGATAGTTTTCAGGTAAAATTGATCACCCCTATGCCCTCCAGAAGCCAGCCAGTGCTGGTTTAGAGTGCCCAAAGTGCTGGATGAGGAAAAGGGCCGCGCAAAGGAACACCCTTTCGGTCAAGATGGGTCCCCATCAAAATAACCCTCTGCGTTACTCTTCCGTTCAGTGAGACAACGCGCATGCGAACCCCTCCAACCCGCCCCGCGCGAGGGACAGAGCTTTAGCATTTGCGCTTTGACACTTGAACATTCATCAGTTTCTTCCCAGTTGGTTGTTTGGATTCGTGGCGGTTAAGGGGTGGTTCCCCATTTATACCGTGAACACGAACCAGGCGTTCAAATCCCAAACCACCAATTTAAGGGTTGCCTGAATTCAACGGGGTTGGCTCAAGATGGGTTGCCCCTGGGCTATAAATGCAATAATTCGCCAGGCTTTCAAAGGAAAAACACCAGCTGAAAACAAAATCGTGGCTTTGCCGCTGATCTCCCGGGTAACCACCCTCAAAAGGCCTTCAAAAAAACACACGCCGTATCAGTCCAACGACTTTACCAACGCCCGAAGTCCAAGTAGGACCAAATAACGCAAAGGCCCCAACTGTTGAAAAACAAAGGGGGTCGTTGGGCGGTGTAGCTCTGAGGTTTCCTCTTGCACCCTAAAAAACATGTGCCTTCAAAGCGTGCCTTTGGTTTGAGCACCACGTCAAGGGTGCCCATGGTGTCCTCTGGTCAAATCCGTTCTGTTCCTGTCTACTTCAGTGAGACATGGATGATTGGCGCCTCGAATTCTCACACGCCAAGCATTGCACCCTCCGTATCATCGGAAGGGTTTGGACCCTCAAAGGTCTTCGAGGTCCCACGATTGGGGTCATTGAAGTCTTGGGAGCGTCGCATTTTCTCAACTTCCCGAGGGGTTTGCTGGTTTGCTGGTTAGGGAGCGGTTTCCCTTATCCTCTACAAGAATCAGGGGCTCAAAATGCTCAAATCCAAATCGAAACCACCAAACCACCAACTCAGGTGTACGTTCTGCCGGGCCCAAAACTCCTCCGATCAAAGTCTTCGCCCAGTCGCCACGGCCGCCCCGGAGCCAGAGGGCGTCTTACCTTGATGGCTTCTGCGAAACTTTGGGATAGGAATCCATACCCTCACGGAAGCTGCCAGAAGGCCTCTGTAAATGGAACCAAGTCTTCCAAAGGGGTCCTGGGAGCTTCCATCTTAGCCTGGGGGAGGGTAAGAGGTTAAAAACGAAAACCAACTGGAACAAAAAAAACGCCAACTGTTTGGGGGTCACCTCTTCTGGCGCACGTGCTGCTGGCGTCTTGGTTGGGTGCGTGCGTAGTTGTAGTTTTGTCCTTGATTTCAGCAAGCCCCAAAAAACCTGGGAATAGGGAACCGCCCGAAGTGAATGATTTACTTTAGGGCTTGCAAAACCCCCGTCAGAATCTTGGGGCCTGATTCCATTTTTCGAGATTGGTTTACCGGGAAACCAAACAAAACATTGTCTGGGGCAGCAACGGTGGCAAACCCTGAAAAACGTCCCACGATCATTGACCGTACAAGCGGAGCTGAGCCCCGACCATCCGGCTTTTCTTCCCTGCATTTCCGGGTGTGAATAACTCGAAGGGTTCGCCGTTCTTTAAATCTCACTTACGGAATCATACAGGCATGTCGCCATCCTTCACACAACGCACGAATCCACGCCAATTGGAAAAGTTCCAACAAGGAAGGCATTGGTTTGGTTGGTGCTACAGCCTTGCTCTCAGCACGTCAGCTCGCTTATCATGATGGCTGCTGCGGCTGGCCCTGGGATTGCACTTCTTGCTGGGGGGAGGTACACATTGACCCAAACAGGTCGGATGCACAAACAGCTGAATTAACGCTGGCTGGTAAATGGAAAACGCACTCTGGTAGTCGCCAGGAAACGGGGGGGGTCTACTACCATCAGCCCATCATATTGTGGAACACGCCAATTGGAGAACTTCCAAGTCCAATCGCGCTCTCGCAAACGCGGGGTTCCAGTGCTTGGTTGCCCCGAGGATGGTTTCAACTGGCTTACAGATCATGTGCCAAGGCACGGCCGACGGCGCCCTGCGCGCTACTTTGGCTGCTTTGCTTCTCCACCTGGCGGTTTTTCTGGCCATGCCGCCACGCCCAATTGCATCGGCATATTTCCACAAAAACATCCTCAGCTTTGCTTGGCTGCCGTTCGTCGCTTTTGTCAACAAGGGTACTTGGAGAAACACGGTAGGCAGTGTACTGAATTGTTTTAGCAAGAGCTAGCAAGAATCTGTCTCCTGGCCATGCGTAATTGACCGTCAAGCTGCCCAACTCCCCTCCATTTGCTGGTATTTGGCCTGGACAAGAGAACCAAAGGCGCTGATACGCGTGCCAGCATTCATTTGCAAGGCCCTGACATGGAAATGGAGCGCTGGGCAAAATTCCACGGCGCAGGCAGGACGCTGTAGGATCATGCAAACACAAATTGCCATCAAAAGCGCGGGTTCCTTGTTTAACAAACCTGCTGGTGATGCTGGTGGTGCTGCTGTTGTTGAAAAAAGAGATGGAGATGCGCGCTCCGTCTTTCTGAGAGCAACTTCCTGCGCGAGCGGACAGCCAACCGTGGGCGTCACCCTGCGTCACCGTGTCAGACGGCACCCTGCGAGCGCGGGATCGAGTCAAGACTCGTTGGTTGCTACAACGACGCGTGGTCTCCTCAGCAGCAAGGCCCTCCTCGCATTGAGCTACCTCCCTGATGCATCATGGAAGCCGAACATGTCATTCTCCAGCCGCGGGCCGTTGCCGCCTATTGCCAACCGGTGCTTCCAAGATGATGGTGACTTCAGCACTCAGAGCATGTGCTTAGCTCTTCGTCATAAATTAGCACGGCAAAGCGTGGCAGCGTGAAGTACTCAAGCCGAGAGCGGAAGTAGCCGCTAACAAGTAACATCTCCACCACTCAATTGACAAACGAAGATGTGGTCAAGACGTATGAACATTAGGAACATGTGGCTTGTGGCCCCTACCTACTTGGGTTTCAATTTGAGAGGTGCCATCCCACAAAAATGACTTCTCAAGTAGTTGCGCAGGGCATTCAACAACCTTACACGCAAGCGCGCACAAAAGCCACAAGCCTTCAACGGCAGGAGAGGCACAGTTTTACTGATATGAGAAGCTGACATTGTTACCGCAGTTAACTGATAGGGTACCTCCCAAAACCGATGCCTGTCAACCTGGCTTCAAGGGGCCAACGCAGATCTCTGTTCTCACAGAAACCCCCTGTCTGATGTGTCTGAGACTAGCCTCGCAGCCCAGCCCAACCAGCAACAGGCCCCTCCACCAACCAACCCAACTAAGCCGCTCAGTCGCGACCATGAGAAATTTATGTAAGGAAGTCTTCAGCCGCTTATATCAAAGATGGTGCCCACTACCCCCAAACCATCACCCACGAAAATCACGGTGCACAAAAACGAAATAAGTGTATGTAAAGGTCACACACCCTGATTTGCCCTGGGGGAGGGTCAGTAGTGGAAGGAAGCCATGTTTTCTTGCTTCCTGAGTGGATTGGCCAAAAGAGCATGTGTTTTGTTTCACATTGACGAGTAAAATCGCCCCAACAAGTTTTCAAGTCCAGCAACTTAGAGAGTTCCGGTCCCAACCTCCCGCACGAGTGAATCAATAACAGGCCTGGGCACCGGGGCCTCGGTGCGCGGATCGGCGCGGAGGTTTCGTCTGACTAAGTTCCCCCAAAAACAAATACTGTACCCGGCAAAATAGGATCAACAATTGGAGATTATTGCCCCAACAGAATGAGTGGTTTGCAAATTTGAAGGGTAGTTTGTGTTTCCGGGTAATGTTTCCTATCTCTATACATATATATATATATATTAATAGATATGCTTCCATAGCATATGTGTATATATTTCATATACGGAGATTAATTTTAATAGGGAACCCCTCCAAAGTGGCTGGTGGACATGGATCTCCACCTAAATGACGTCCTCTATATATATATATGTATAAGCGTTTTGCCCCTGTTTTTGAGCTTTGTCCTGGGGGGTGGTACCACATGGGTGAAAACTAAAGCACCAGGGGACCGCAGGTATATACATATTTGTCATGTGTGAACAACATTCGAAGGGTCGGCTTTCCCGTAAGTTCAACGAGCTCCCGGCTGTCCGGCGCCGAGATTTCCTGGGAAGCTGTGCAGTCAGGGGGCTGCAGGTAGTAGAAACTCAGAGGCAGACAGTGGATTTCCATCGGAAAATAAGGGTATCCGATTCTTTTTGGTTGGTTCCGCCACAAAAAGCTCAAGACCCCACCCCCAAATTGAGCAGAGGGCAAAACTCTCCGTGTGTTTCTTGCCGGTATCAAACAGCTTACGCGACAGCTTACGCGTCGCTTACGCCGCACTTGAAAAACCTTACGCGCCGCGCACTTGGATTCTCACATCTTACGCGCAGCTTACGCAAAGGCTGCCCCGGTCTTTACCTCCAGCTTTGCTTCTTGCAGCTGCACTGCTCCCCCAAAAAACGGCCGTCTGTGACTTGCTGTGACTTTGTGGTCAGCTTTTGAAGCAAGGGGAAAAATAGTTCGCCGAACTCAATCGTTTTTTCGCGTTGGTGGCTCTATTGCCGCAGCCTTGGAGATACCTTGCTGTGGCCCTGGGTGAGACAAAGGCCACCCGGCCGGTGGGAGAATTGAAGCTCCACACCTTCATGTGCTAGCAAGGGCTGCGGGAAGCAAAACCACTGAGCTGAGAGGTTGTTGATAACTGGCTGGCTGACAAGAAAGCTGCTTTAGACTGACCGGCCTTGGGCAAAAAGCGCAAAACGATTTAGTTCGCCAAACTACATCTTTTTCTGCTGGCTCTAACACCTCTCTGCTTGCCGTGCAGCTCTTTCAAGCGTTGGAGATACCGAGCGTTTTTGGAAGCAAGCCTCTGGAAATACCTCGCTGTGGCCCTTGTCAGGATTTTGGTCAATGGCAGGCTTCGTGCTTACGCGCGGGCTTACGCGCGCAATATTTGCAACATGCTTACGCGCGTGCTCACGCAAGCTTACGCACCAAAGGAAAAACCTTACGCGGACCGTTCGATATCGGCCCCCCCTTACTAAATTGGTCTTGGAGCCCACATCCCGGCCGAAGCCAAAAATCAGGCCGTCCGCTAAGGGAAGGGCCGTCCGTT